TCCGACGCCTAATGCCTTCCTGGGGGATTTAATGCCACCAAAACCCGTGTCACCTGCCCCCGGGCAGGACCAGCCTCTGCTGCTCACCATCTGCCCCGCCTCTCGCCACCCTTTCCAATGGCTGACTCCTGGCTCTCCCCGAGAGTTCGCGCCGTTGCGCTCGCCTTCGCTTCAAGAGGTGGGGAGGGGGCCCGACCAGGTCGCACAGTCGGTCAGAGCATCATCCTGACACACCAAGAAAACAGCAGATTGGGGGGTGGGTGTGTGTGTGTGTGTGTGTGTGTGTGTGTGTGTGCGCTTTTCTCTAAAATCGATAAATTTTAAAAACTTAAAAGGTGTTGGGGGGGCAGGGAGGAACATAAAGGGAATGCATACATTGCTGGTAACAGTTTTAAAACTAACATTTTGGAACAGTGTTCATGAAAATCTTTATCTGGCTTTTAATTTTAATAATTTGCATAGTTTAATAAACTAGTTATCTAAAAAATGCTTAGGAATAAGGTTAACTAAAAAGTGTGAAACTTAACTGCTAAAAACGACAAACTATTGTTGAAAAACTTAAAGAACACCTAAATAAATGGAAAGATACCCCATGTTCATGCATCAGACTTCATATCATTAGATAGCATCAGTCTCCAAATCGATCTACAGATTCAACATAATCCTCATCAAAATCCTAGCCCTGGCTGGTGTGGCTCAGTGGAGGGGGTTCCCCCGCAGGGGGAGGAGAGACAAATTGATGTTTCTCTCCCTCCTTCCTCCCTTTCCCCTCAAATTTAACTTTCCTATATTTTTTTTTAGAAATTGACAGGCTGATCCTAAAATTCATAAGGAACCTTCTTGTATAAGCACTGTGCTAAAATTGCAGAAACTAGGATTACATCTTGGTTTTTGTAATAATGCTAGCAGAGTACACACAAGAAGAAAAGTAACTGCACCAGATTGTAAAGGCTGGGGTGGACCTCTTTCTTAGTGTCCAGTGTCCTTTGTCTTAAGATTTGGTGCAACATATCTTTAGAAAATAAATAAATAAATAAATAAAATTCATAAGGAAATTCAAGGGACACAGACTATCCAAAACAATCTTGAAAAGGAGAATAAAGTAAGGGGACCCACACTTCTCAATTCCAAAACTTATTACAATGCTACAGTAATCAACTTGATGAGAGATTGGCATAAAAACAGACTATAGATCAAAGGAGTAAAATTGAGTTCAGAAATAAACTCACTTTATAGTCAAGTGATTTTCAACAAGGGTATTAAGACTGTTCAGTGGAGCAAGGAATAGACTTTTCAACAAATGATGGAATAACTCAATATCCATATGAAAAAGAGTAAAATTGGACTCATAGCTTAAACTGTATATACAAAAATTCAGTCACATTGAATCTAAGACCTAAACATAAAAGCTAAAATTACAACACTGTTAGAAAAAAGCATAGGTCTTTGTGGCCCTGGATTAGGCAACCATGTCTTCTATATTACACAAAAAGCGTAAGTAACAAATGGACATATAATAAATCAGACTTCATGAAAATTAAAAATTTTGTGAGTCAAAAGGCACCATCAAGAAAGTGAAAAGACAGCCTGTAGAAAATATTTACAAATCATGTATCTGGTAAGGGACTTGTATCTAGAATATATAAAGAATTCCTACAACTCAATAATAAAGAGACAACTCAGTTAAAAATTACATGTGGCTGAAACCTGTATAATTTTATTAACTAATGTTACCCAATACATTCAATGAAAAAATAAGTATGACTAATGAGTACATGAAAAGATCCCAGCATCAGGGAGGAAAATGCAAGGAAAACCACAGTGAGATGCCACCCACCCCACGTTCCCTTGCGAGACTGCAATAAAGCGACCCGGGGGAGGGGAGATCAGGCCACCGTGCACTGCTGGTAGGGATGTGGCGCGGTGCCGCTGCCGTGGAGAACAGGACCGAGGTTCCTCGGGGGGTTAACAGAGCTGGGACCCAGCGATTCCATTTTTAGGTATCTACCCAGAGAAATGAGAAACATGTTCTCTCAGAAGTTTCTACATGAAGGTTCACAGAGGCATTATTCATAACAACCAAAAAGTGGAAACAGCCCCAATGTCCGTCAGCTGGTGAGTGGTTAAACAAGCGGTGTACACATGTCGTGGAGTGTTACTCAGCCACAGGAAGGCAGTGAAATACTGACACAGGCTACAACATGTTGCATGATTTCACATATATGAAATACTTAAAACCAGCATTTCCACAGGGATGTAAAGTAGATTAGTGGCTGCCAGGGGCGGGGGGAGGGTGGAGATTGGCTGCCAACAGGCGCAGCTTCTCTTGAGGGTGACGAAATGTTCTTATTGACTGGGGGGCGGCCACACAGCTCTGAGTAAACATAACGCCATCGAGTCGTACATTTCATATGGGTAAATTGTGTGGAATGTGAATTGTATCTCAAGGTGTTACCAGGAGTGAAAAGAGAGCAGAGGGGCTGGGGCCAGCACGGCAGGGCCCAGAGGGAGAGTCCGGGGGGAGGGGCAGCTGCCATGGCTGCACACAGAGGTGGCGGGAGGGCCCAGAGCTCCGTTCTGCACGTGTGCACATTGATTGGTATCAGAAAGAGCACAGACCCGCCAGGTCAGCCGTGTCCAGGGGAGCAGAGAGTCCTTCTCACACAGAGCCAAGGCCCACACAAGCCACTGCTAAGAAAGCATGGGGGACAGGGTGGCGCTGAACACTGAGCTTGGGGTGGGTGCCCTCCCCAGCAGGACGGGGAGCGCAGCCCACTGAGAGGGGGGCACCTTTGGGCAGCGCGGGCGGAGCAGGGTGTCGGGGGGTGGACAGCGAGTGCAGAGAAAGGAGAGGGGGCTCCAGGGAAACATGGCCCCCTGGAAGGGTGGCCTGGTTCCCAGTTTTAGGTGACCTGGTGAGGACAGGAGACATCGGACCCATGGCAACCAGAGGAGACGTGCGGCAGCAACAAATGACCCAGACTGGGGCCTTAGGACAACAGGAGTCCGCCTTCTCTCCGTCCGGAGGCCAGAAGGCAGAAACCCAGGCATCGGCAGGGCCGTGGTCTGTCTGGAGGCTCCAGGGCAGGGTCTGTCCTTGCATGTCTAATTCCTCGTTGGTGCCCACGTCACTCAGTCTCTGCTCCGCGGCCATGTCACTGTGCCTCTCTTTCAGGCGTCAGGGCCTGCTCGGATAATCCAGGGCAAGCTCCGCCTCTCCGTCAACTCAGTCACACCTTTTGCCATACAGATGACATTGGCAGGTTCTGGAGAGTAGGATGCGGACAGGTCTTTGGGGGCCACCGTTCAGCCCAGTGCATGGAGCAAAGACTGGACCCAGGAAGTGGGACTGGGGCTGAGAGAAGGCTGGGGGCCTGTGCAGTGGGCAGGAACTGACATTCCCTCAGTGCCTGGCCCACAGCGTTTCTTCCGTGAACTAATGATTCTCAAAAGAAACGGCAAGAGCTCACACAGCCTGGAGAGAAGACGTTTCAGCAATGTTAAAGGCTGACAGTGGGGCATCTGCTGACCATTCGGATGAAACGTGGTTTATACACGACGGAATATTATTCAGCCTTAAAAAGGAGATTTAACAGGTGCCTGTAACATGGGTGAACCTTGACATAAGCCAGTCACAAAGGACAAATACTGAATGACTCCACTTCTACGAGGTCCCTGAGAAAGTAGCTGGTGGTGCCAGGGCTGGGGGAGGGGTGGGGAGCAGTGGGTGATGGGGACAGAGGAGGAGCTCCCCGGTCGCGCGCGTCGACGGCCGCATGGCAGTGTGAACGTGCTCAATGCCACTGAGCTGTGCGCTTGCAATGGTTAAGATGGTAAAAACGGTAGGTGCTACGTTATGTGTACTTTAACACAATAAAAAATATTGTGGGTAATCACGACAATGTGGTCTTCCTAGAGGACGGTAGGGAGAGTGGAGAATAACTTAAAGGGGGATAACATGCGAAAGGCGCAAACATCAAGAAGGCTGCTCCACTGGCTAGAACTCAAAAACGTCCCAACGCGGGGGGCTCTGGGAAGAGGGAAGAGCAGCGAGCAGGGCGACTGACTGGTTTGGCTGCGAGGTTTTCCCTGCAGGACCCCTAGCCCCTCCAGAAAAGGCCCACTGACGCCCGCTCACCTCCGCCGGCCCCGCCTCCTCCCTGGCCCCGCCTCCTCCCTGGCCCCGCCCCTCTACCACCTCCACCGCCCGAACAGATTCCACTCCCCCAGCCCAGACAGGCCCCGCCCCCTTAAGCTCCTCCATACGGACCCCGCCCCCGTCCCGCCTCCTGTTCCTGTCACCCAGACAGAACCCGCCTCCTCTGCCGCGCCCCCGCCCACCGGGCCCCGCCTCCCGCCTACCCCGCCCTGACAGACTCTGCTCCGCCTAACTCCCCTACCCAGACCACGCCCCTGCCTCCTCCGCTCTGGCCCCGCCCCACATGGTCTTTCCTCCGGTCCCCAACGCCCTGACAGGCCCCGCCCCTTCTCACTCCTTAACCCTGCCCCGCCCCGCCCCTCCTCCCGCTCCAGCCGCCCTGACAGATCCCGCCTCCTCCGCCCTGGCCCCGCCCGACCTGGTCTTTCCTCCCGTCCCTCCGTCCCTGACAGGCCCCGCCCTTTCTCGCTCCTCCACCCTGACCCCGCCCTCGCCTCCTCCGTCCTAGCCCTGCCGAGCCCCGGCACAACGAGAGCAGGAATCGTGGTGGCTGTGCTGACGCTGCGTTTGGAAAGGTGTGGAAGGGGCGGAGTCGCAGGTTGCCCCCGGTTGGCCTACGGTCCCCGCACCACCCGCCGCTTTGGCTCGCGGCCGCCCTCCTGAGCGTCGGCTCCGGGCTCCACTGCTCTGGCCTGGGGGCGGGGCCGCGCGGCGTCATGCATATGCATGAGCGGCGCGGCAGCTCCATTGTGCCCTGGGAGCGGCGGCAGCGCGATGGCGCGGGCGGCGGCGGCCCCTGGGTGGCTGGCGGCTCGCAGAGCGGGCTGAGCGCATGGAGCGGCGCGGGCCGGGGGCCGCGGCAGCGAGGGGCCGGGCCGGGCCGCACGGAGGTGAGCGGGCCGCGGGCAGGTGCGTGCGGTGAGGCGGCAGGTGCGGCAGGTGTGGGGTGGCAGGTGCGGCGCCTCGGCTGGGCGCCGGAGCCGGCCTGCCGCGCGTGCGTCGTGGTCCCGGGCGGCCAGCCGGTGCGCCCAGGCGACCCCCTCACCTGAGCCTTTGTTGCGGCGGCCGGAAGCCGGCCCAGCCCCCGAGGGGTGTGCGGGAGGCTGCCCGGCCTCGCCGACGTGTCCCCGCGGCCGCCGCTCAGCGCTGTGGCTGGTGGGCTCACCTCGGGCGGTGCGCGCCCACCGGGGCGGGACGTGGCCCGGCGACGCAGACCTTTCAGCCCCAGCCGCGGATCCGTGGGTTCGCCCCTTTCCACACGGAACACGTAGAAGCTCAGGCGGGAGGGAGTCCTGCGCCAGCCCCCTACGACCCGCGCCTATTTCCCACCCCTGACCCGCCCCCGACCTGCCGCCCCCTCGACCTGCTCCGCATCGTCCTGCGCCACACCTGCGGCCCCATGCCCTCCTTCCTGATAGTTGTAGAACGTTCACGGTCTGTCCGTAACTCATTCGTTATCTCAGAAGATTTCCCAGGGACGTACACAGAACGCGTAACTCGGTCCAGAAGATGGGGCGGGCGGTCCGGGGAACACTGACTCCGCCGTCCAACTCTGGCGGGCCAGAGCCAGGGGGCCTTCCTGGAAGAGGCTGGAGAGCAGACGCAGGACCAGTGAGGCAATCTCAGGCTGAGCCAGTGGGTCACACCCAGGGAATGGTCCCAGGCTGGAATGGGACTTGGGGAGACGCCTGGGGAGGACACCCTCCGCTTGATCGCGGCCAGACCTCTCACGGAGTGTCCACGAGCACCTGTGTCCAGGACGAGCCAGGGCTGGTGACATAAAGGTGGTCACATGCCTGTTCCTCTCCTCAGTCCCCATTATATATAAACTGAGGCTCGAAGCAGTGCAGCCCTTCAGCGGGTCTCAGAAACGCCCCACGCGCGGGCCGGCTGGGCGTCCTCCTCCGCGGGCGTCCTGCGCGAGCTGGAGCAGAGCTGTGGCCTGGCGGGTAGAGAGGGCAGGCTTCCAGCCCTGCACACGGGAGGACACCTCGGCGGCCGCCTGCTCCACAGGGTCTCAGCCTGTTTGACTCCGGGGTCCCTCTGGAAATACCTGCATCTCCGCCGTGTCCGCGGCAGTGCGTCCCTGTTCTGTGACGGAGGACAGGGGCTACCCTGCCGGGGTCGGGTCGTTCTGCTCCTGGGTGACCAGGCGGGGAGATGGAGCAGAGGGTGGTAGAGGGTTGACCAACATTAACGTCCTCCTTCAGCTGACACGCGGGAGGCTGGGGTGCAGCCGCTGTGAGGTTCCGAGGAAGAGGGGTCTGGGCAGCGTGTTGTCTGTAGCTCTTTTCTGTGGAGGAAGATGTGATCTGACCCCCAGAAAGCCGCTGGGCCTTCTCGACGGAACTCAGGCCAGGGAGGCTCTGCCAAGGGGTCCTGGCTTCCAGCTGGAATGGGTACCCGCCCAGGCCCCTTCCCAGCTCTGCTCCAGGCCAGGAGGAGGGCCCGAACTCACAGCCTCTGTCCTTGTGGGGAGCCGAGAGGCGGGGGGACCTGCGGAGGTATCTGGAGACCATGGTCTTTTCTCAGGGAGGAGAGCAGACCTAGTGCCGGGGCTGGGCAGGCAGGAAGTCACCGCCCCCTCGAAGTCAGCTCTGGGGGAACTGGAAACGACTGTGGTCTGTCCACAGCAGAGAAGCCGGGGGGTGGAATTCCCCGGGCCCACATGGCGTGGGAGGATGCCCTGCACCTGCCCCGCCCCCCCCAGCCCTCCCAGGGGTTCTGGTGTGGGCAGTTCCAAGCAGCACACATGCAGCTGCCCTGCCCTGCCCTGGGACTCGGCCTCCTCCAGCCCGTCCCTGCCTTCTGCTCCTGGGACGACAGCGAAGGGGACCCGGCCGGCCCGACCCACTCAAGGGCGGGAGCGATGGCCAGTGGGCCTCTCTGTGGAGAGGGGCAGCTGCTGGTGGTGGGTGTTTTGGGTTTGTTTTTTTTTTAAAGATTTTATTTCTAGAGAGAGGGGAAGGGAGAAGAAAGAGGAGAGAAACATCCGTGTGCGGTTGCCTCTCGTATGCCCCCTGCTGGGGACCTGGCCCTCAACCCAGGCCTGGGCCCCGACTGGGAATCAAACCAGTGACCCTTTGGTTCGCAGGCCAGTGCTCAATCCACTGAGCTGCACCACTGGCTGGTGGTGGGTTTTTAACTAAGTTTTTATTTTGTGAGAATTCTAGATTCATATGCAGCTGTGAGAAGTAACACGGCTGGTGTATCCTTTCCTCGGCTTCCCCAGTGGCAACATCTTTCAGGGTCCCAGCAGGATTCTCCGTGGACACAGTGGAGATACAGATACTTCCATCCCTGCTTCCCTGCGGCCCTGTCCTCCCCACCATTTAACCCCTGGCAACCGCCCGTCTGTTCTCCTTTCCTGTAATTTTGTCATTTCAGGAAGGTTATATAAAGGGAATTGTACAGTGTGTAACCTTTGGGGACTGGCTTTTTCCACGCAGCAGAATCTCCCGAGATTCCTGCAGGCTGGTGCCTGGCTCAGCTCGCCCTTTTGATGCCTCCGGCTGGGGAAGCTCAGCCCTTGGTTAATCTTCACCCCTGGAGGACATCTGGGTTTCCATTCCTCGGCGATTAGGGGTAACGCTGCTCTAGACATTCACGTAAAGATTTTCACATGGACATCTGTTTATGTTTCTCTGAGATAAATGTTCAGGAGTGAGTTGCTGGGTCAGACGGTAGCGCAGGCTTAGTTTTTAAGAAACCGCCCGCCCGCCGGAGGGGCCAGGGCCCCCGCTCTCACCAGCAGCGTGGGGGCCGTCCTGTGTCGCTGCTCCTACTCCGGTCACCCTGGGAGGTGTGCAGGGACACCCTACCCTGGTTTTAACTTACATTTCCCAGCGGCCAGTGATACTGAGCGTCTTGTCCTGTGCTCATTTGCCGTGTGCACGTCCTCTTGGTGAAATGTCTCGTGTCTTTTGCCTTTTCCCATTGTACTTGTTTTAGTGTATGTTCCAGCCTCCAGTCGGGCCGGGTATGTGCCCTGCAGACATGTCTCTGGCCCGTGACTTGTCCCCTCGTCCTCTGGGCAGCCTCCCTCACAGCAGGAGTTTCCGTTTTTCCCTCTATGGGTCGTGCTTGTGGCGTCACACCTGAGAGCGCTGTCCTTGGCGCCTGAGCCCCCGGCACTTGACCCCCATGCCGCCCTGGCACCCGAGTCTAACCTGCCCTGCCCCTGTCAGCGGGGACAGAGGAGAGCAAGGCAGGGGGCTGGGGGAGCTGCCTCGCTCCCTGTACCCTGACCCCCAGCCCCGAACCCTGCTCCCTGAACCCTGCTCCCAGGGTTTCCCAGCTGCGTCTCCGCTGATGTGCTTCCCTCCCGTCCCAGCAGCCAGAGCAGCCGAGTCGCACACCAGCCCCAGTGAGAGCTGCCTCCTGCCGCCCTTTAGGCTGCTCCCCAGCCAATGAACCCCATGAACCCCATGAAACCTGCCCTGCCCTCCGCGCCACACAGGTGAGTGGGGCTCTTGCCTCGGGCCCCTCGCTCCCAGCCGGCGGTGCTCCCCCAGTGGCATCTCAGCCACGGCGGCCTCCGCACCCAGGCCTCCCTGCCGCCCCTGTCCTCGCAGTGATGGTCCCTTCGCTTGTGAGGCCGCGCCTTGGCAGCAGAGCGCCCCTCGGCCCGCAGGGTCGCTGTCGGTGGTCGCAACCGTGTGGGGCGTCGGCAACGCGGCGCACAGCCAGGTGAGCCCGCCTCTGAGCCGGGGCCGGTGGGGCCAGGGCCGCTGGGCCCCAGTCCGTGCGGGCGACCCGCATGCGCCACGCACCCCCCCGCCCCCCGCAGACGCAGCCTGCTGTCCGCACCCCACAGCCTTGGGCCCGCCCGTGGGCTGCCCCGCCCCTGCCCTCCTCCGCGCCCGCCAGGTGCCTCCTTTCCACACTTTGGAACTACTGTGGGAGACACATTGTTTGGATGGTTCCCTTTGGTAATTCTTGCTTCCTCGCAGGTTTTGGGGAGCCCCATGGGCCCGGCGGGGAGCCCCCCTGGCAGCTCCATGATACCTGGCGTGGCCGGCGGCAGCCCGGCCCTGAGTTCCCCGCAGTGCCTGGGACAGCAGGTGTTTAGTGAGGGCGGCGCCAGCAAGGGCTACGTGCAGCAGGGCGTGTATGGCCGCGGGGGCTGCCCCGGAGGCCCTGGCTTCGCCGCAGGGTAAGCGGGACCCTCCCCTGGCAGGTGTGCCAGGCGCCCTCTGAGGCGGGCACCTAGGGACTGCAACAGTGATGTGCTGGACGTGGCATCTCTGTTTCCTCGCGGGCTCCCCCAGCTCATGAGGGAGTGGCTGGCAAAGAGCAGGTCGTAGGGGCTTTGCGTGCCGGCCCCCGGCCCACAGGCGGGGAAGCGCTTCTAGCCGAGCCACCTGTGTCTCGTGCAGGTATGCAGGTGGCCCTGGGGCGCCTGGGGGTCTGGGCCTCCCCTCCCATGCCACACGACCCTCTACGGACTTCACTCAAGCAGCGGCTGCTGCTGCTGTGGCCGCCGCCGCCGCCACTGCTACGGCCACAGCCACGGCCACGGTGGCTGCCCTCCAGGAGAAGCAGAGCCAGGAGCTGAGCCAGTACGGAGCGGTGAGGCTGTGGTCCCTCCCCGGGGGAGCTGGGCACTGCTGGGAAGGCGGGGGCAGCCAGGCGGCCAGGCGTGGCTCAGGGGCTGCGGGCGTGCCCGCGTGCAGGCAGCGAGCAGAGGCCCTGGGACAGAGGTGGGGGTGCGGGAGCGAGGTGCTGAGGGGAGGGGACCGGGGCCCCCACAGCAGCGGCTGGGCCTGATGGTCCCGCTTCTCTTCCCAGATGGGGGCCGGACAGCCTTTCAACAGTCAGTTCCTGCAGCACGGAGGTCCCCGGGGGCCCAGCGTCCCCGGCAGCATGAGCCCTGCCAGCATGGGAGGGCTGATGGGCCCCGCCGGCCCCATGGGCGTGAACCCTGCCCGGGCAGCGGGCATGGCCCCTCTGTATGCAGGGCAGCGCCTGCCCCAGCACGGCTACCCGGGGCCTCCCCAGGCCCAGCCGCTTCCCCGACAGGGCGTCAAGAGAGCCCACCCTGGCGAGGTGAGTGTCCAGGCCCCTCGCCCACGTGTCAGGTGGGGCCGTGGCGAGGCCGGGCGCCCGTGCGTGAGAGCGGGCGGGGACACTGCTCGCTCCTCGGGAGCTGGCCTCCCTGACACCCTTCCTCCCCCGGGCGTTCGCCCCGTCCCTCTTTCAGGTGTGTCCAGGGCAGCAGTGCCTGCCGGGAGGCCCGTACTCGCCCAGCGCCGCCCAGTACACACCCGGGCAGCCCCCTGCCGCCGCCTCCTACCCTGGTCACAGGCTGCCCCTGTCCGCCTCTGGCCCCCCGGGACTGCACTACAAGGTAGGGCCAGCTCCTCCGGGCCTGCAGCCGGCACACAGACGGCCGGGGCGGCCGGGGCGGGCGTGCAGCCCTGCCGGGGCCCTCGGAGAACGGGGCCTCCCGTGGTGTCCTCATAAACCTGCCTGACGCCAGCCACCTGTGTCTGTAGTGGCCGTTTTTAAAATTACGAAATCAGTATGTGCTCCCTGTGGATGATTTAGAAAATACAAAAGTGTGTAAAAAGGGAACTAAAAGGCAAAGCCCACATGTGTGTGGTGGGCTCCCTGCGCTCGTCCTCATCCTGGGTCTCGTGCGGGGCCCGGTGGGGGTCAGGCTGGAGCCCCAGGCGCACGTGGTCTTCTCTCCTCAGCCCGCGGAGCAGTTCGACGGGCGGGGCGCCGGCTTCACCGTGGGGAGCAGCGGCCTCAGCCAGCCGGGCCTGAGTGGGGTACGGGCGGCCGCAGAAGGGCAGGAGGCTCCCTGGGGGGTGCGTGGAGAGAGGGCCCCCAGGCACGAGGAAGCGTGGGCGCCCAGCCAGGCACCCCGCGGCCGCCCGGCTCCTCCCGGCGGGTGCTCAGGGACGCGGCGCGGCCCCACCGTTCTGCCTTGACTGTGTGCTCAACCCCGCAGCCCGCCCGCTCCATCCCTGGCTACCCCAGCTCCCCGCTGCCAGGGAGCCCCACGCCGCCCGTCACCCCCGGCAGCAGCGTCCCCTACGGTCAAGACGTCAAGTCTCCCTTCCTGCCTGACCTCAAGCCCAGCGTGAGCTCCTTGCACCCGTCGCCCCCCGGTGAGTGTCGCCTGGCCCTGGGACAGGTGGGTGGGCAGGGGCCCAGGCCTTGCTCCTGCAGGGGACAGGGGGTGGGGGCGCCTGTGCAGATGTGTGGTACGGGCAGGGCTTCTTGGGGAACGTGCCGTGCGCAGTGTCAGGGACCCCTGAAGCCCTCTCCTGGTTCGGAACCCCTGTGGTTGGCGTCCCACACCCTAACTGCAGCACCGGGATGATGGGTGGCAGGTGGCCAGCGAACACTCCCTCAGTCCCCACCCTGCTGAAGGCACCAGGAGCACCTTCTGTCTGGGTCGGGGGTGTTTCGGGTTGCGTTTTAGGGTGTGCTAGGCGGGAGGCCTGAGGCAGGACGGAGCCGTGGGGTGGTCCTGTTACCATTAGCGGTGACGGCGGAGCGCAGGGTTGCAGGAGAGACGCCACCCAGACCCTAGCCTGGCGGAGGGGAGGGGCTGCAGCCCCTCATCAGCACCCGGCCGCGGGGCGGGGGGCCTGGCGGGCTGCTCCGCTGCGGGAGGCCTGCTGACGCCGAGGGCCGCCCCCAGGCAGCGGCCCCGGCGACGAGCTGCGGCTGACCTTCCCCGTGCGGGACGGGGTGGTCCTCGAGCCCTTCCGCCTGCAGCACAACCTGGCTGTGAGCAACCACGCCTTCCAGCTCCGCGACTCGGTCTACAAGACGCTGATGCTGAGGTGAGCGGCCCCCGGCCCCTGGCCCCGCCCGCTGCCGCCTGGCTCTCAGCGCCTGCCCTCTCTGCACAGGCCTGACCTGGAGCTGCAGTTCAAGTGCTACCACCACGAGGACCGGCAGATGAACACCAACTGGCCGGCCTCGGTGCAGGTCAGCGTGAATGCCACCCCCCTCACCATCGAGCGCGGCGACAACAAGACCTCCCACAAGCCCCTGCACCTGAAGCACGTGTGCCAGCCGGGCCGCAACGCCATCCAGGTCACCGTCACGGCCTGCTGCTGCGTGAGTGCTGCGGACAGCGGGCCTTCGCCCCACCGGTGGCTTCCTGTTCCATCTGTCCTCTGACCCTTTAAGAGGAGGACCCAGTAAAACCCACCCTCACGGCTTCTGGTTAGGTCCCAGCACGAGGCAGGCGCTCACACCGCACGTGGGAGGAAGCCCATGGGCCCCGAGTCCTCGTTGGGGGTCACCTGGCTCCAGCCGGCACTGGGGCCCAGGCAGCTGCGCTCGGGTGGGCAGCCCAGGGGTAGACACAGGGAGGGGGAGCGCGGGCAGGCGGGCTCTCCGGGCCCCCGAGGGATGGCGCGGTGCGGGAGTTAGGACGTTGGGCACGGAGCAGAGTCCAGGGGGCTGCGCAAGCCCCTGTCACCAGGGCGCCCGGGCGCGGCAGCCCTGGCCCGCACACCGGGCCGGAAGGACACGCTGCTGCCGAGGAGCTGCCGGCCCGGCCGGGCCGTGCCCCTGACCCGCGCCTGCCTTGCAGTCCCACCTGTTCGTGCTGCAGCTGGTGCACCGGCCGGCTGTCCGCTCAGTGCTGCAGGGCCTCCTCAGGAAGCGGCTGCTGCCTGCCGAGCACTGCGTCGCCAAGAGTGAGTGGCCTGCCCCGCCCCGCCCGCGGCACCGCCCCGTCAGACGAGGCTCTCCCCCCGCGGCAAGGGGTCCCAGCAGGGGCAGCTCCACGCCAGACAGGCCCTCGGAGGTGCCACATGCTTGTCGCGGCCCATTCTTCGGGCCTTTCCCTGTCACCACCAGTAAAACGGAACTTCAGCAGCGGCACCATCCCTGGCACCCCCGGGCCGAACGGAGAGGACGGAGTGGAGCAGACAGCCATCAAGGTGTCCCTCAAGTGCCCCATCACCTTCCGCAGGATCCAGCTTCCTGCCCGAGGCCACGACTGTCGCCATATACAGGTGGGTGGTCCCCGCATTTCTGGAACAACCGCTGCCTCTACCCATCTTTTTTTTTATTTTTTCCCTAATTTATTTATTTTTTGGAGGGGGGAAGGGGGAGAGAGGGAGAGAAACATCCACATGCTTGAGCAACACGGATGGGCGGCCTCTTGTGTACCCCCTGCTGGGGGCCTGGCCCCAACCCAGGCCTGGGCCCCGACTGGGAATAGAACTGGCGACCTTCCAGTCTGCAGGCTCACACTCAACCCGCTGAGCCCACCAGCCAGGGCAACTGTCTAACTATTTAGCAGACAAGATTCAGCCCTTGGGCCTGCAGGTGACAGGAGAGGCCACCCAGCCAGTGGGCAAGTGGCCTGACTCCCCCGTCCCCCTCAGGCTGGGCTTGTGTTTGTTCTAAGCGTCGTGCCCTTTCTGCGTTCCGGGGCTGCGGCGTGGACAGTGTCGAGGATGCAGGGTGCCGGCCCCTGCCGCGACCCCCGGAGCGCCACGCAGGCCGCCTGCTGAAACTGGACTGGCGTGCCCGCCGCCTTTGTGACCGCATGAGCGTGCGCACGGCCCTGGGCCCTGTTCTCCCCTTAGCGCGCCGGGAGCACGGCTGCCCGACTCCGGCTGTGGCCCCGTGGCCTGCTATTCCCAGTGAGGGCTGCCTGGCTGTCCCCAGTCTTGATCCATTAGAACAATGGTGTAGTGACAGCTTGGTGCACATAACTTCTCAAAGGTGCAAGGAAATAAGGGTTCCGGGCACTGCCCAGGGTGAGCCACGGTCTCCCTCCCCACAGTGCTTCGACCTGGAGTCCTACCTGCAGCTCAACTGTGAGCGGGGGACCTGGAGGTGCCCCGTGTGCAAGTAAGTGTCCCGGGGTGGTCCCCGCGTGGGTGCCAGGGGCAAGGGCAGTTCTTCAAGGAACACCCGCCCACAGCCCCGAGTCACAGCCCCGAGTCGGCTGGCACCGTTCAGGGCCGAGACCGCACACAGGGTCACCTCGCACTGGGCGACCTCGAGCAGGGGAGGGGCTGAGAAGTGGCAGGGCTGCGCCCGCGGGGGCTGGGCCAGGCCTCTGAGCTGAGCCCTGCTTCTTCCTTCCAGCAAGACAGCCCTGCTGGAGGGCCTGGAGGTGGACCAGTACATGCTGGGCATCCTCACCTACATCCAGAAGTGAGTCTTCCTGCAGCCTCCCCAGCCTCTGGGGTCAGCAGAGGGCAGCCCTGGGACGGGCGGGGTGGCACCTCTGCTGCTCTGCAGAGACGTGCGCTCGGTCCCAGGCATCACGGAATCTGCCTCCCACCTGGCCAGCATCCCACAGGGCACATGCAATGTGCACCTGAGGGGAAGGTCTGCCCAGAAACTGCGCCGGGGCCGGGAGAGGCCGTGGGACCGGCGGTGACCGTCCCCCCTGTCCCGCCCAGCTCCGACTATGAGGAGATCACCATTGACCCCACGTGCAGCTGGAAGCCGGTGCCTGTGAAGCCCGACGTGCATGTCAAGGAGGAGCCGGATGGGCCGGTGCTGAAGCGCTGCCGCACCGTGAGCCCCGCACACGCGCTCCTGCCCAGCGTGATGGAGATGATAGCCGCCCTGGGCCCAGGGGCCGCTCCCTTCACGCCCCTGCGGCCCCCCTCGGCCCCAGCCCCGGGCGACTACCCCAGCCAGGGTGAGTGCGGCTCCCAGCCTGCGAACGCAGGCAGCCCTGGCAGATGGCCACCCTCCCGGACCGGTCAGCCACCCGTGAGGCTGCTGCTACGTGGGCCCCCCCGGGGGGCTGGCTGCAGACACGCCAGTGTAGGTGCGGCCTCTGCCGAGCCGGTGGGTGTGGGCAGCAGGGCCTCCAGCGGAAGCTGCTCCCCACGCTCCCAGCAGCGGCAAACAAGGGGCCCTCGGCCGGCACACGCCATGGCCTGGCCCCGCCTGACCCGTGTGGTGAGGCAGGTCCCGTTCCCCTGGCCGCCCGGCCCGTGAGGGATGTCACGGGTCCCTTCCCCACATAGAAGGGACCTGCAAGGGAGCGCTGCCGCCCGCCCTGTGAAGGCCCCTCCCAGGACCTGGCTCTCCTCTCTCAGGTTCCAGCTTCCTGGGACCCGGGACGTTCCCCGACTCCTTCCCGCCCACCGCACCCAGCACCGCGATCCTCCCTGAGTTCACCCCGGGGCCGCCCCCCATCTCCTACCAGCCCGACATTGCCAGCAGCCTCCTGACGCCAGAGAAGTCTACTCTCAGCCTCCCGGTCAGTGCCAGGCCGAGGGCCGAGGGCCCATCCCCCAAGGGAACCCGGGCCCTTTTACCAGGTCCTTCTCTCCTTTCTCAGATGGCACCTGCAGGCCACCTGGACCCGGCCCACAACCCTGGGCCGCCCGGACTGCACACGCCCAACCTTGGAGGCCCCCCGGGGCCCCAGCTGCACCACCCTAACCCTCCCCCAGCAACCCGGCAGCCCGTGGGCCCCGTGGGCGCGGGTCCCGTCGGCGAGCTGGCCTTCCACGCCGCCACAGGCGTGATGGGCCCCCCCATGTCCGGGGCAGGGGAGGCCTCGGAACCGGCCCTGGACGTGAGTACCGTGCCCGCTGCTGGGAGAGCGTGGGAGCCTGGCCGGGAGCTGGTGTTCGGTTGTCCTGGGGGCACAGGCTGACAGCCCAGTGACTCAGAGCAGAGGCACCGCGGGGGCGTGTGCAGAGCCTGCAGGGGCCTGGGCTCCCAGCTGAGCGGCACAGCCCGAGGGCCCGAGGGTCCCCAGGACCCCTAGAGCAGCTCAAAGCAGGAAACCCCAGGCACTGGGGCCCCAGCTCCCGCGTGGCCCTGTTCACGGCCCGGAGGCCGCCCTGCGTCTTCCGCGCTGGCCAGGGACAACGTGCCAGGTTCCTGGGCATGGATGCCTTCTACAGGGAGAGCCCCCCCCCCCACAGCCTGGGGCTTGGGGCACCCCACATTCCGGCCTCCCCACCCACCTGGGCTGTGGGGACAGAGGTGGGTCTGAGACCAGTTTGCTGTGTCCTCAGCTGCTCCCAGAACTGACCAACCCAGACGAGCTGCTGTCCTACCTGGGCCCGCCCGACCTGCCTGCCAACAGCAGCGACGACTTGCTCTCTCTCTTCGAGAACAACTGAGCCGTCAGCCGCCCGGAGGCGGGCCCAGCCACCAACGCCACCCGCCCTGCCCTGCCCTGCCCTGCCCTCCCCTCCCGCCGGCCCCACTCCCCAAGCTCACCTGGGGCCCCTTGTCCCTGAGCTGCAAGCAGCTCTGCCCTGGCGGGAGGGGACCTGCGCGCCAGCCCAGCCCGGCCCGCTGGCTGCTGCGGGAGGTTCCTGGGGTCCGGGCCCCACACCCCGCCCCCTCGGCGCGCCCGGCGCTCCCAGCGGTGACCCAGGTGGTTCCCGAGCGGGGCTGTGGGCCGGGGCCCCTCTCTCTGCCCTGGTGCAGCCACGTGCGCCTCCAGCCGGGTGGGGGGCGCCCGCCCGAGTCTCCATTAAAGGACTCCCACGGTGGCCTGGGTCCTCCTTGCGCGCCGCCCGCCGCCCGCCCCGCCCCGCCCCGCCCCCTGTGCATTTCCTCCTCCCTGGAATTTTCCAAGCTGGCTGCGGTCTGAGCCCTGTCCTGCCGTTTTGTGAAGTGTCGCCCGGGCCGGGAGACACCTCTGCCACCTTGTCCCCTCGCGTGGGCGTGCTGGTGGGAAGCCAAGGGGGAGGCCCTCCACCCCGCGAGCCGCCGGCACCCCAGCCCCGCATGTCGGGCGCGGGTGGGGGAGGGGCGAGGGCCGATTTCACGTGCTCGCGGGGGGAGGAAGGTGCCGGTCCTGCCTATTGACATTTTGGGACCCCGGGTGTGGACCTGTCCGCCAGGGAGCAGCCTGTCTCCCCTTTGCCTGGCCGTGGGAGTGGTCACAGACCTCCAGCGCTGCAGGGGACACCGGGGCCGGGTTGGGTGCGAGGAGCCCAGCCCAGTGCTTCCTCATCAGTAGTCCCGGGCCCTCCTGGGCCCTTTGGAGGTTCAGGGGGCAGAATGGGTGCGGGCCCGCACATGGTCTCCCAGCGTCAGTGCGTCCCCAGCCCACTGCGCTGCGGGGCTTCTCGCGGGGTATGGCGGGACCAGGACGCAAGCACAAGGCTGCAGACCACGCTCAGTCCTCAGGCGGAAGGACACAAAGGAATGAGCGTGCTCGCCACGGTGTGGGGCGGCGGGACAGGACCCGCAGCCCTGACGTCGCCGTGAAGGCCCGGGACAGAAGGTGCCTGTCCGCGCTCCACGCATGCGGCCCATTTCCTGGGTTCCTGTGTCTGCTTCCCCGAGGCTCGGCCGGGCACCGGAGGAAGAGCAGAGCGTTGACCCCACGGGTGTTGACCCCAGTGCGCATCATGTGCCATATTCTTATGTACACACCAAACATTACAGTTAAAGAACAGGAGCCAGCGGGTCAGCCGGGTATAGCGTGTTCCCCAGACTCCAAGGTTCCAAGTTTGGGCCCCAGTCGGTCACGCAGGAGTCCCCTGACGAGCGCATTGATGAGTGGAGTGACGAATCGTTTCTCTCAAATCAATTTCTTAAGGCTTTATTTTTTTAGAGAGGGGGAAGGGAGGGAGAAAAATATTGATCTCTTGCTTCTCATCAGTCCCCTACTGGGGACCTGGCTGGCAACCCAGGCCTGTGCCCTGACTGGGAATTGAACCTGTGACCCTTCAGGTCACAGGCTGGCACTCAGCCCACTGAGCCACACCACCCAGCGCCAAAATCAATTTAAAAAATTTTCTTTCCAGCCACTCAGTCTGAGAACACTCCCCCCAGCAGCACTAAAGCACATTCTCCGCGACGGACCACCTACTAGGCCACAGAGCAGGTCCTAATAGATTTAAATCGTGCAAAGTACCTTCTCTAAGCACAGGGGAATGAAACTAGACAGCAATAATGGAAGGGAAACAAAATTTCACAAATACGTGGGACCTGAACAACTCTAAAAGCCAAGGGGCCAAAGCAGCACAGTGACAAGTGAAAACACAAAACGTAGCCGTAGCGGTGGGAGAGAGCAGGGCGAGAGGGAGACCTGTAGCTGTAAACGTCTCCGTTAAAAAGGAGAGAGATCTCAGTCCTCTCACCCCTGAAGGAACTAGAAAAGGCGCACACTAAATGCAGAGGTAGCGGAACGAGGACGTAACGGGGGCTACAGCGGTGAACTAGAGACCAAAGACGCCGTGGGCAGCGTAAGCCCGAGTGCTTTTTAGTGAAGCGACAGAATGAGCAGACCTTTAGGTGGACCGAGGAGACACGAGCGACTACCCTGGAAAGGAAATCAAGGGAGTTCGCGCCGGACTGACGGAAGGAAGGATGATGGGAGAACACTAGGGACAGCTGTGTGCCGAGCAATCAGACGACCCGGCCGAACAAATTCCTAGAATCCTGCAAAATACCCAAACTGACCCAAGAAGCAATCGTACCTGAACACTCCAGTGAGCGAGGAGATTAAGTCCGTGACCAAACGCCTCTGCCCAGAGAGGCCCAGGACCAGCAAACAGCTAAAGGAGGACATGGTGGGTGGGGGACACACGTCCAGTTGGCAGGCGACCCCGAGCCGCACTCCTGCCTTCTCCCTGCAGGAGGCGCTCCCAGCCTCGTCCCTTGGCTCTCCCCACGGCAGTGACCACCGAGACAGCCCATCTGACCTGCCGCAGGGCCGGGCTGGCCTAGGAGGGAAGCCTGGCAGGCCATAAACAGGTCCCTGGCGGCCTGGGGGAGGGCAGGAGTCCGACTGCACGAGGGCTCAGGGCAAGCAGTGCAGGCCATTCCGAAAAATGAGCCGAGAGGGGCAGCAGAGCGTCCTTCAGGGCGGGCACGGGAGGGCCTCGCGCAGAGGCGACGCTGACAGGAGGGAGGAAGGGCAGCTGAGCCAAGCCCCTGTGAGGGGCTCAGACAGGTGGGGACAGCAGAGGGTGGATCGGGGAGGGAGCCAGGGTGTGGGCAGGTGCCAGAGGACGTAGCTGGAGGCAGCAAGGACTGAAGTGAAGCTGCCTCAGCCCCGGACGTCCTCCCGGGCTGGCTGGCTGTCAGGAGGGGGGCGCCGGCTGAGCGGGCCGGCCACAGGGCCTGGGCTGTGTGAGAGTCACTGCAACTCCAGGGGACGTGCTCCGCAGTCAGGCGCCGGTGGGCTCTCATCAGCCGCCTGCGGGGCCGTGGGCTTCATTTACGCATCCGTCTAACTCCCTTGGACGAGCCCGGATGTTGCAGAGGCTGCGACTCTGGGAGAGCGATGGCAACTCCCCACCCGAACAAGGCGGCTGAACTTTGCTGGTGGAGAAGGGGCGGGGAGGGGGGACCTGAACGAGCGAAGAGAGAGTCCTAGAAGCACAGGATGGGTGAGGGAGAGGTCAGTGTGGAAGAGGGAACGTCCGCCCAGAGACTGGAGCCAGCCAGCTGGGACCAGACTGTGAAGGAGCTGTTTCCACCCTATACTGCGGGCCCAGCTGCCATCCTATACAGCGTGGTGGGAGTTACATAATCAGGTGGTTCTGGGAATGACCCCTCCGCCTGGAAAACCGGGGCCTGATACCCAGGCTTTGGAAGGCCAAGCGAGTGCCACAGCCGGAGAGAGACAGAGATGGGGTGGGGAAGAGCGCGCTTTAGGAGTCTGAGCATCGGAGCCATGGGAATGGGAATGGGAATGGAAGGCAGGCCTTGAAACGGCAGTGGCTCAGTGGGTTGAGTGCAGGCCTGTGAGCGGAAGGGTCGCCAGTAGGGTCCCCGGTCCCCACACAGGCCCAGGTTGCAGGCCAGGCCCCAGCTGGGGGTGTGTGAGAGGCAACCAATCAATGTTTCTCTCCCTCTCTCCCTTCCTTCCTCTCCCTCTAAAAGTAAATAAATAAAATCTTTAAAGAAGAAACAGTAGCGCCCTGACTGGCGCGGCTCAGTGGATTGAGCAGAGCCTGAGAACCAAAGGGTCATCGGTTCGAGTCCCAGTCGGGGCACAGGCCTGGGGTGCGGGCCAGGTTCTCCAGTGCACGGTGCATAAGCAGCAGCCACACAGGGATGTCTCCCTTCCTCTCTTCCTCCCTCCCTTCCCCTCTGCCTAAAAATAAATAAAATCTTTCAAAAAGGAAGAAATACGAGGGCAGTCACTCCCGCACTCGTGCATTCACCTGGGGCGGTGGGCGGGGGCTGCGGTGGGCGGGGGCTGCGGACTCCCGACGCTCTCGGGTCCAGAGTGGAGCGAAGTCGGAGTTGACGCGTGGGGGCCGTGGCTCCTTCCCGCGTCGGAGGAGGGTGAGCAGCTCCTCAAGGTCATCAAGCACCAGGTGGGGTGGAATGAGAGAACAAAAAAAAAAAAAAAAAAAGCCGTGCCCAGTGCTGGCTTTGCTATACCCTAAACGGGCCAAAGACACGCAGGGCCCTGAGCGCGCGCATCTGCGAACGGGGACCGTGGAGCGTGGCGAGAACGGGCAGGCCCGTGGGATAGGCCAGGCGCCGGGCTGCCCCTCCGTCCCGAGGTCCTCATTCGCTTGCTTCTCACGCCCTGTCCCGGTTTTGCAGGTGAAGAAACCGAGTTTGAGGTACCCGATAGCATTGCGAATACTGCGGCTGCGTGGCAGGGGAGGGTGGACGTTTAAATTATCGCCATTTCAAGGCTTTCTGAGCAAAATGCTAGGGTCGCGATCAAGTGCGTGTGGCCCTAGTAATAAAGTATTGCCTTTGCCTGCGAGATTTAACTTTAAAAGTGTTGCTTTGTCTTTCATCAGAGTGGGGAACCCGGCAGGGCACAGATCGGCTTTGGGAGGTGGGGGTGGCGCCGAGATTGAAAAGCGGGTCGAGAGGCGCAGCGTCCCTGAAGGTGGGGCCGCCAGGCTCCGCCGCAGTGTCTTCCTCCTGGAGGAGATGCAGGCAGGGCGTGCAGGGTATTTTCGGAAAGTAGGGCATTTTGGAAGCATTTCGTCACCGCGCAGTCGGAGAGGCTGCGCTCATCTGCAGCTCGGGGAGACGGCAGTGCCTGAGGCCACCGGGACCCTGAGAGGCGTGGCGCGGCCCGGGACCCCGAGCGACCTTGGCGCGCCGCGCGACCTTGAGACCTGCGTTCGCCTCAGTTGCCCCCTCAGCGCAGTGGGGAGACGCCCTGGCGGAGGGCGGCCTCTTGACCCTCGCACTCCCTCGGGCTCCCGCAGGCCACCCGGGCTATCCCGAGAGCCCACCCCCTACTTCCTCCGGACGCCGTGTCCCCGGCCCCCGCACTCCACCCCACGCCGCAGAACCGCGACGGAGCCCGCGGGCGGGAACCTGCTGGAGAACGCCAGCGCGCACGCGCACCTGCACTCCCACCCCAGCCCCAGCGCCCCCTCTGCCCATAGGTCAGGCGCATCGTCACTCTGGCCTATGTGCGGTCGCCATTGGCTAGGGCGGCGGCGCGCGACCGACTATGGGCGGAGCCCAGTCCGGCTATAAGAGGGGCGGGCGCCAGGGCTCGTGCCGCCTTGCAGACGCCGCCGCCGCCTCGGTTCTTCCCGCGCCCAGCCATGGTCAACCCCACCGTGTTCTTCGACATCGCTGCCGACGGCGAGCCCTTGGGCCGCGTCTCCTTCGAGGTGGGGCGGGCGGCGGCGACGGCGGCGGCGGCGGCTCGGCGCTCCTGGTGGGCCCGACCGGGGGGCGATGGGGTGGGGGCAGCGGCCCAGGGGCCCGGGCGGGCGCCCGTCTGAGGAGCGCGGCGCCATTTCCTGACGAGGGGCCATTTTGGGAGGCCGGGGGCGGCGGGCAGACAAAGGCGGCGGGGGAGGGGCGGCCGCGCCCTTCCGGGCGCGCACGTGCTCGCACCGCGAGCCGTTGGCCGCCGCGCGCACCGTGGGCCCTGAGGGTCGGCAACGCCCCAAACGGACGGCCGGCGCGGGCGTCGCCCGCAGCGCTCGGACCCTCGCCTGGCTCCTCCAGGCCGCCGTACCCGAGGGCGCCTTTCCCGCGCCGGCCTAGGCGAGCGCAGCCTCCCGGGACTGGGCCCCGCGTGACGCGGCGTCCGCGGCGGTCCGAGGCGTGCGGTGGAGCCGACACGGGCCTGGCGGAAGCGAGCTGGCGCCGCGGCCCGCCCCCCCGCGGTGACGACGCCCGTGGGAGGGCCGCGGCCCCTGAGGCCCAGGGCGGGGGCGAGCCCGGCCGGCAGATGCGGCCCCGGGCGCGGTCTTCTCTTGGGCCGCGTTTCACCAGCCGCCGGCGCTCGGGGTGGGGCCTTGTCCGGGAGCCGGTCCCCGCGTGCAGTCGGCCGCGTCAGACCGAGGCCCCGTCCCAGGCCGCGCGTCCGCCCCGCTGGGAGCGGCGGGCAGCTGTCAGGGGCCCACGTGGAAACTTGGCCGGAGCGAGCGCCTCGTAACGCGTTAGTGTCGGGTTAGCCGCGGGGCTTGGTGGAAACGCGATAGGCGCCCCCGCGGGGCTCGGCAGAGGCCCTGCTGGGCGGCCAGGGTCGGAGGGGACGTGGCTGCGGGTGTGGGAGAGCGCGGTGCTTTTGTCAGCACGCCGGCCCCGCGGGCAGCTGCGGCAGGCGCCGGTCTCGGTGCGTTTCGTGCCCCGCCGCCAGGCAGGGCCCCCGGAGACCCCGAGGCGGCTGCTTCCCTAACCCGTTAAAGCCGCGTTAACACCCCGGAGGTGGCGGCGCCCTCATTGCCGCCGACTGGCCGGGCGGCAGCAGGGCGGCTGTTCCTGGAAGCCGCTCCGCCGTTCGCGCCGCGGTGGGGAGGCGGCGGATACGTGAGAAGGAAGTGTCGTAACCCTCCCGGGCTCCCGCTCGCTGTTGGGAGGCTTCGCACTATTTAAGTCATTACGGGCTCTGGATGTTTGGCGTGTCCTCGGCGCTCACGTTGCCTCACTCACCCCCGCAGGACGGTAAGGCTGCCCGGAGCACTTGTTACTTGGGATGCGCAGTAACCGCTGAAGCATTGCTTTGTAGGGAAGAAACGAGTATGATTCGGAAGCCCCCAAAGACTTGGGGCGTTGGTAATAAAAGATGTAAGCACGTGTTACTTTTCTTTTACAGCTGTTTGCAGACAAAGTTCCAAAGACAGCAGGTTAGTTCCTTTAAAGTTTAATGAGGCAGCCCCGTTTTAATTCGGTGTGTGGTGTGTACATACATATACTACTACTGTGTTTTTGTTTTGTTTCTTTTTTTAATAGAAAACTTCCGTGCTCTGAGCACTGGGGAGAAAGGATTTGGTTATAAAGGTTCCTGCTTTCACAGAATTATTCCGGGATTTATGTGCCAGGTATGAAATGTACTGATTTTGACTTGGGTTGTTACCTTGCTTTGGGATTAGATGTGTACACATGAGCTGTTATTTTTCCATTTTGGTTTCACTTAAACCTTCTGGTCACCTGAGGCTTGAGTTTTGAAGTTTGAACCTTGCGGGCTTGGCGTGCGCCCTGATTATGTTGCAGAAGTGACAGGTTTCTGTTGCGTTCACAGGGTGGTGACTTCACACGCCACAATGGCACTGGCGGCAAGTCCATCTATGGGGAGAAATTTGATGATGAGAATTTCATCCTGAAGCACACAGGTCCTGGCACCTTGTCCATGGCAAATGCTGGACCCAACACAAACGGTTCCCAGTTTTTCATCTGCACGGCCAAGACTGAGTGGTAAGGGCATAAGCAGGCAGGGCAACCAAGGAACACCTAGTCCTTTTATTTAAATTAGCATGTGACCGGTTGGCGTTTTATATAAATGTACACACATTAACTTACTGATTTTAGCGAGCGGAAACTTCATGGTTTGTTGTTCTATGTGTTTGTGCGTTCATTGGTTGATTGTTCAATGTGTCCTGAACGGGGATCAAACCTGCAACCTGGAATGCTGGGACAATGTTCTGACCAACGGAGCTCCCTGGCCAGGGCCAGAGAATCTTAGCCACCTTTTTGGGTCCGTTGTGTTCCCTCCTCCTCTAGGCAGAAGGATAAAATAACGTTTCCGGTATTTAACGAGTCCACAGTAGCTACTATTAAAGGCTGGGAAAGCCCTTTCTGGCGTTCCCCTGGGTGTGCTGCATGGGGGTGTGGGGTGGGCACTATTGCCGTCTTGATGCACATTGCAAGGTGCTTGTTATCTCTGGTCTGGTGATGGCGATTGCTCTCTTTCTAGGCTGGACGGCAAGCACGTGGTCTTCGGCCAAGTGAAAGACGGCATGGACGTTGTCACAGCCATGGAGCGCTTTGGGTCCAGGAATGGCAAGACCAGCAAGAAGATCACCATCACTGACTGTGGACAACTCTAATACATTTGACTTGTTTTATCTTAACCATCAGACCATTCCTTCTATAGCTCAGGAGAGCACCCCTTCACCCCCCACCTGCTTGGAATGTTCTATAATCTTCGTGCTCTCGCCACAGTTCATTGGGTTCCGTGTTTTCCTTATCCTTTCCAAGTCTAGCTGGATTGCAGAGTTAAGTTTATGATTATGAAATAAAAACTAAACAATTGTCTGTCCTTGTTTGGGTTAGGGTTTTATTTTAAGCAGCAACAGGTTACTTAGAAGGCAGCCTTGCCGTTTGCTTTAACTTGAGTGCTTTGTTGTTTGGTTCCCCAACCTAAGGACTGAATGTCACGGAGGATCCCCCAGGTGAGCCGTGAGCGGGGCACTGAAGGTGGAGGCAGGATAGGGAAAGACAAGTGGCTGGGAGCAGCGCTCGGCGAAGGAAGTTCCCGCCTGGCCCGTTGGGAGGTCGGTGTCCAGGTTCGCGCCGCCGCAGATCGAATGTCCTGTGAGGGCGCGCCTTGAGGGGACCCTGTGGGGCGTCACAAGGTGATGGGTCTTAGGGCTCTGATGGTGGAACAGCTGGAACTGTTTGCTTTGAGGAGGCAGAGCAAAAGGTTTATCATAAAGCACAGACTATGAAATGGACAAACGAGTCTGATGGCAGAAAAACCCGGTGCCTGAGGCTGTGGGGCCTGCGGGAGGCGTCCTGTCCCGGAAGTCGCAGGCCAGGGAACCTGTCCAGTCATCGCAGGTCTCCCAGTGCCTCCCTAAGGGCAGACCTGACCGGCCTGAGCCGTGGGATCTCACTGAGATGAGGCCCTTCCCCAGGACTTTGGTTTCCTCCAGAGTCGAGTACAGACGTTGAGCGCTAGGAGTGATCTGCGCGTGGGCCAAAGGACAGTCCACTGGAGGTGCCGGCCAGGAACGCCCCTCAGTCACGGCAGCACTTCCCAGCTGGCCGACGTGTGTGCGGGCTCGGTCGTGCCAACACTTTCCATTTCAGCTTGACCAGTTGGTGGCCTGAGGTTGGATTCCCTGGTTGGTTCCTAAGTCACTACAATGGTTTCCTCCCTGCGTGGACTCCAGTTCTCTACATTTCCTTGTGCTCTGGGTGGTAATGAGCGCACGTGAACATGGACATCGATTAGCTCAATCTTTGCTCCTGTAGTACAGCTGCCCCCGAACTCTGGCGCCGGGCACACCAAGTTCCTGGAGGACAGCTTCTCTGCAGGCTGGGGATGGGGGGGGGATGGTTTGGGGGCGATTCAAACGGGTTCCATTCCAGCTCACCGGCTGCACAGCCTGGTTCCTAACGGGTCTGCAGCGGTCCGGTCTGTGGCCTGCAGGTGGGGGCCCCCTTCTCTAAGAGACAAGGCCTACGGGTGACCATGTGCACCGAATCGTTACTTTGGAGGTGCAGTCCAGGTTCCTAGAGTTGAACAGTTCCGTTTCATACGGGGTAGTAGGATGGCCCAACCAGGAACATCCTCAATGACTTAACTGAAAACCAGGCAAAGAAGAGGTTCAAGCAAGACCTGTTCACCCCGCCATTTCTCCCGGTTCAAGGCAGTTGCTAAGCTCTTACGGACACCCCCAGAAAATGCCCCAGGCTGACATTCCGTAAATCACTTCCACAGGGCCTGCTCTGTTCATGGGGTGGTGAGGGTTCAGTGTAGAGCGAGCACTCTCGCAAGTGCCTAGCACGTGTGTTACCGGTTTGTTGAGCGTGAACCCCTGGGGTTTTCTCCAGCTAGTTCAGTGAATCCCAGTGCCTAGTGCCCAGAAGAGGCTCACAAATACTGAGTGAAAACTGAAACCTGAACATAGAACCTGATTGGTTGGTTTTTCTGGAATTAGGAATTTAATGTTTCATTATGGAACATACATACAAAAGCATATTTACAGGTATCTACTGCTGCATCTCAAATGACCCCAAAGCTTAACGACTAAGCAGTACCTCAGTGTCTGTGGATCAGGAATCTGAGGACGGCTCGGTTGGGTCCTTTGCAGTCGAGGTGTTGGCCAGGGCCTTGCGCCCAGGGCTCCACGGGGAAGGACCTGCTTCGTAGTGCGCTCGCCCGGGTGTTGCACGGCAGGGCTGTTCTTGCCACAAGCGCTCCCTACCCGGCAGCCTGCTTCACCAAAGCATGCAATCCCGCAGGCAGTGGGGTCCAGCAAGATGACAGTCACTGTCTTACAACCTGCCACGGACCTGGCGTCCGTCACTTTCGCTGTGTACCGTTAGAAGCCAGTGAGTCGCGAGGTTCAGCCCATGTTCTAGGACGTGTACACCAGGAGGTAGGGACCAGCGGCGGCCATCCTTAGAAGCTGCCTAGTGCAAGTATGGAAGACGGAGTGTGAAAACCGGAAACGACCACCAGCTTGTCCAGCATCTCCAGTTGCCCAGAAGCCCCCTTGGGAGTCGTCCCCCCCCCCCGCCGTTGCTTATTTTCTTCCCTCACCTGAGGCAACCATGATTCTGATTTTCGTGTTCTTCAATCTCTAGCACATAATGTGTGTCCCTAAAACGTGTTTAGTTTTGAAAAAGTGAAAACCAAGCAGGAATCTGTGCAAAGAAAGGGTAAATTGGCACTGTGTGCTGACGGTACAAGGAGAAGGCAAGAGGAGCAGCGTGTGTGGGTCACAGTGCGGCCTCAGCAGCCCAAGAGCACACGGGCCACCTCCAGGGAAGCCAGCCAGGGGCGCTGCCCAGGAGGCGGGCTCACCAGTGCCCTTATCACACACACCTCGGAAAGCAAGCAAAATCCATAAAATCCAGAGTACCTGGTGGTCCCTTCTTCAGAGTTCCTCCAGGAGTCCTAGGTGCTTTTAAAATTAGCTTTATTTTATTGCTTAAAGATATTTATTATAGAGAGAGGGGAAAGGAGGGAGAAAGAGGGAGAGAGACATCACTATTCAAGACATAGATACGTTGATCGGTTGCCTCTCCCACGCCCCCAACCGGGGACCTGGCCCGCAACCCAGGCCTGCGCCCTGATTGGAATCAACATGGGGACCTTTTGGTCGCGGGTCGGCAGTCAACCCATTGAGCCACACCAGCCAGGGCAAAACTAACTAATAAAGGTATAATTTACATGCAATTAGAAGGTCTTTTATAAGACCCCTCCCCTGTCCCCACACCCCCAGAATCCAACTTAGGTTCAAATGTTGCATTTTATTATGAAGTGTCTTTAGTCTTTTTTAATCTAGAACAATGCTTATTATTTTCACATACTGTAATTTCTATTAAGAACTTTATGGAGATTATAATTTATACACTATAAAATTCACCCTTTTTAAAAGTACAGCCCTGGCCAGGTAGCCTAGTTTATTGGAGCATCGTCCTGCTGAGCCAAGGTTGCAGGTTTGATCCCTGGTCAGGACAAATAGAACAGTCAAGCAGTGAAGGCGCCGATAGGTGGAGAAACAACTCAATCTCTTTCTCAATCTCTCTCTTCCTCCCCCCCTCTAAAATCAATAAAATTATAATATATATATGAAGTGTAGTGTCCAAAAATAGCAAGATAAGAAAAAGAACAAAAAAACAAGGAAAAATACATAAAACAAAAAGTATAGGAATCCAAAAATTCCTAATTTTGTTTCTGCTACAGGTAAGAAAGCCACGTTGCTTCCACAACATTCCAACGCAGTGAGCCACCCTGAGAGCGCGCGCCCTATCAGCACAAGTGTCGGCGGTTTCGCCCTGGGCGAGGGTGCAGGCCTGCGTGAGCTCGTTGGGCTCTAAGATCTGAAAGGGCGTGGGTATTGCGCACTCAGCACAGTGTTTCCTGTGTTGTCACCTCTTGCATAAGAACGAGCAACGAACCATAAGAAGTCAACTCAGGAGCCTCCTGCACATCTCGCCAGGGATCAGGAGGTGACGCTCTGTGTCGAGCAGTTGTGAGGGGCTTCTTTGATAAAGTGGGAAAGAGAAGCTGGATTAAGGGGTGTTACTCGCCAGCAGCAAGTGTCGTGTGAGGAATGGCACCAAGGAGTTCATCGGAGGAGAGGAGCCTGACCAAAAAGTGTGGCCTGGGGTGGGCATTCGGGAGCGTTTCTGCTGCATGGGGTTCAGAGGTGGGGGAAGGGGGCCGCACAGCGATCTCCTTGGTGCCTAAACCAAAAGGGCAGTGGTGGCCCCTGTGCCACAGCCCTGGGCGGGGCTCCCATCTTTCCCGGTGAGCAGCGCACGGGCATTCCCTTCCTTTCCAGATCTGTGAGTTGGGATGCCCAAGGGCAGGTGGGCTCAGGAAACTCTCTGTCAAGTCCCAAAGGCCGTGTCCTGCTGTTCCTCCCACAAGGGTGGGTCTGGGTTGTTCTTCAGTAATGCACTCGGAGGTTTGGCTGGAAGAGGGGTCGGGGTCCCGTTAGGCAGTAACCAGCCAGCCTGAAAGGCCTTGCTGTGGGCGCCGACGCTGGGTCGGGGGAGTTCAGGCCTCAGGAAGCCTATGTGGTCCAGGTGCAGCCCTTGTTCTGTGCCGGGTGCTCCAAATATCGAACCTGCGTTTGGGCAAACTGCGATTTTTCTTTGGCAATCTTTTTAAAAAGATCCTATTTATGTATGTATGCATTAATTTATCTGAGAGAAGGGAAAGGAAGGAGAAAGAGGAGAGAAACATGTGCAAGAGAAACATCAATCAGTAGCCTCTTGCACGCCTCCAACAGGGGACCTAGCCCGCAACCCAGGCGTGTGCCCCGGCCGGGAATCAAATCTGCCACCTCACCCTTCACTCCGCAGTCCCGTGCTCAACCCACGGAGCCACGCCAGCCGGGGCTTCTGTGGCAATCTTGACGCAGGGCGGCCACAGAACTTCCATTTGTGCAGCACACAGTGCCTGACCCTGACTGCTGTGGCTCGGTTGGGCATTATCCCACAAAGCGAAAGGTTGCAGGTTTGATTCCCGGTCAGGGCACATGACTGGATTGTGGGTTCTGTCCTCGGCCCCAGGTCTGGGTGTGTGAGAGACAGCCGATCAATGTTTCTCTCCCTCCCTTCCCCTCTCTCTAAAGAGATTTAAAAACACACACACAACAACAACAACAACAATAACAAAGACCACGCAGTGCCCAGCGTCTGGGAAGTGCAGCACAGTGGGGAGGTCTGTCTGCCCGCCCTTCCCCCTCAGCGAGGGCATTCAGGGAGCCGGGGCAGCACCATCTGAGTGCTAACGGTTTCCAGGCGGGATCTCTCTCTTTCATTGATTTTAGAGAGAGAAACATTGATTTAGTTTTCCTCTTACTGATGGTTCATTGGTTGATTCTTCCGTGTGCACTGGCCTGAGACTGGACCGCACCCCGGCGCGTCCCGATGGCTCTCTAGCCGAGGCCACGCGGCCAGAGCTCTTGCTTCCCTCTATTAATGGTTGCTATTATGGGTGAAGTAGCTCTACAGGTTGGGCAAAAGCAGGTTTACAGTTGTTCATATGGAAAAATATATCATACAAGAATAAACTGTTTTGCATACTCACAATTGTAAATCTACTTTTACCAGCCTCTTCATTATCAGGGGAAGTTCTTGAATTAAGAATGTCATGGTTCTCAAGTTCAATCAAGTTGAATAATTTTTTTTCAAGTTAAAGTCATCTTTTTTATTTTTTATGTATTTTTTTTTATTGTTGTTCAAGTTCAGTTGTCGCCATTTGCTTCCCACCACTCCCCCCGCCCCGGCATCTCCCACCCCCAATCCCGCCCCTTGGCTCCGTCCGTGGGTCCCTCGTACGTGTTCCTCGATGACCCTTCCTCTTCTTTCCCCCATTACCCCCTCACCCCGCTGCGTCACTGCCAGTTTGTTCTTTATTTCCACGTATCTAGTTATGTTTTGGAAGATGCGGGACGCGTCACGAGTCTGCGTGTCACCCTTGCGCAGGGGCCATGCTGATCTCTGTGTATCGTCCCAATTTCAGTGCATGTGCGGCCGAAGCGGGACTCACGTTGAATAATTTGAAAAACAAACCCAAAAACCCAGCTCGTAGCCCTGGCTGGTGTCGTTCAGTGGACTGAGCGCCAGCCCGTGATCCAGAAGGTCGCCAGTTTGATTCCTGGTCAGGGCACAGGCCTGGGCTGCGGGCCTGAGGCGACCTAGCGATGTTTCTCTCCCTCTCTTTCTCCCTGCGTTCCCCTCTCTCTGAAAATAAATAACATCTTTAAAAAAAACAACACAAAAACAAGCTCATAGAGAAGGTGGGTGGTTTCAGGCTGGCGATGGGTGGGGGGTGAAATGGGCCAAAAGGCATAAACTTCTAGTCATGAAACAGGGAAGCCATGGAGCCTCACGCGCAGCAATGTGACTAGTGAAGGACTCTATTTCACATTTTGGAAGTTGGTAAAATCCATCCTTAATCTCAAATACGTAAAAGAAGCTACAACGCCGTTATTCTCTGCAGCGTTTGCAATCTTGCTCCCCAGCACGTGTCGCAGGTTTGGCTCAGATAAACTCTCATGTTCTCAAGAAAATTTGGGTAAGGGTGGATCTTAAAAGTTATTTTGCAGGATATACAAAAACGAAGTCATTATGTTGTGCACCTGAAACTAATATAATCCTCTATGGCGATTACACCGTAAGAAAAAAAGAACCATCACAATGAATTCAGCCACAGGCCCGGAAGCCGGCGGGGTGACATTTCCCGCCCCTTCGAGCCGCGTGCTCCTGGGTGGCTGCGAACCGCCTGCTGGAGTCACCTTTCCCTCCCAGACATGGTTTCACGCTGCGCCTGACCCTGGCCTTCCCCACATGCACCCCCAGGCCTAAAACTTAAACACCCTCTCCTCTGAGGGGCTACCGCACGCCTCGGTGCTGTGCTGCCCCACGTGCGTCCGGAAGTATTTTAACAATTTTATGCATCGGTTAGAGGGGGTCTTTGAATATAGAAAACGTCCTTTTAAAAAGCTTTCTTTTACAGGTGCCTATTCCAGAATTACAGGTGAAATACGAAGGCCGGGCCCCGCGTTAGAGGAAAGGGCGGCGCACAGACGAGGCAATGTGGATGGTCGGGGCGGGGCCCGGAGCACCCGCCCCAGTGCTCGGCTTTTTTTTTTTTCCATTAGAAAACAAAACAAAAATCCTGAGGACATCGTGGTCAACTACACTACCAAAAGAAAACAGATATTTGCAGCAATGATCTAGAAATCTCTAGTAAAAGAACCCCATTCTCTGTTGATTATTGCCTTTTCTATTGCTACTTTGTCTTCCAAAAACGATTAAAAGTTCACACGGGGATAACTGTGGGTCCCCTCCATAGAGAAACTTGTTCAGTCCTGGCTGGTGTTACTCACTGGACTGAGCGCCGGCCTGCGACCCGCAGGGTCGCGGGCTTGATCCCCAGTCAGGGCCTAGGCCTGGGTTGAGGGCCAGGTCCCCAGCAGGGGGCGCGCCAGAGGCAACCACACGTGGATGTTTCTCTCCCATTCTTTCTCCTTCCCCTTCTCCTCTCTCTAGAAATAAATAAATAAAATCTTTTCTAAAAAATTAAAAAAAAAAAACTTGTCCAATATATGCTCAGAGACAATGATGCAGAGAAATCTGAACCGCGCGCTGGGCAGGAGTGGGGAGGGGCCGTAGGAGGAGGTTGCCCGAGGCAACGGTCAACAGCCGGGGCCGCGATTGGCTGGGAAGTTGAACGCCCCAGAACACACGGCATTGTGGGCCGGAGAGGCTGGAAGTGGAAGAAGCGCGCCCAGGCTGCGGGCCGGCCGGCCTGGCTCCCCGGCTCCCCGGCCGTCTTCCCCGGGGACGCCTGGATGCTCGAGCGCAGCTGCCCGCGTTTCCCAGCAGAAGGTATTGTGGGTGGGAAGGAGCTCGCGGTACAGCCCGGGGCGGGCTGGCCTGGGTGGGGCGAGGGCAGGGCTGTTCTTCTTTGGGGTCCTGGGGGCACGGGCTCCGAGGCAGGAGCCTGCCCTTCTTCCAGAACTGTGGGGCTTTAATTTAATGTCTTCCGTTGCTTTAGTTTGCAAACTAGCCCGACAGGAATAAGATAATTAAAACATAACCGGGGGGGGAAAATGGCGAGAGAACGCAGGTGTTACGAGTTGAGTCTTAATTGGTAGGTTTAAGTGATTAAAGCTGTACCTAAAGAGTTTAAAGAGTTCAGCCTTAATTGATAGGCTTAAGTGACTAATTCTTGTGGAAAGGTGTTAGTTCCAAAATTGCGAGGTTTTTGAATAAAGACTCCTTTCCTTTAGCACCAAACATTTGGCCGGAATTTTGCGCGGAGGGTGGGGCCGGCAGCAGGACCCCGCTGCCTGTGCCTGGGGCTGGTGGACCCGAGAGGCCTGCGGGATCCCAGGCTCGGGGGACCCTCCGCGCGCCCGCTCAGGCCCTGGTCGCCCAGGCGCGCCTGGCTGGTGCGAAGGACACGGGGCTGGGAGCGCGGTCCCGGTGAGGCCCGCCCGGGGAAACCGTCGTGCGGGGCCCGCGGTTGCTGGTGAGCGCTCCGTGGGGTGATGGCGTCGGGGGCGCCGGCTTTGTCCCTGTGTTCGGAGGTTCCTGGACTTTCTGGCTGTAGCTCCCGGCGGCCCGTGCGGGCAACGAGAGCAGTTCTGCGCGGGCTCCCGGGGGCCCGCCGGGCGGGATTCTGGCGGGCGGGGGGCCCGTGCTGCCGTTTCCCACCGTCCAAGGGGCGTTGGCGGATCCTTGAAGCTCCGTGTGGCCCCGTACGTGTTGGGTCGTGGCGGAAGGTGGCCGGGCATGGCTCCCTGCTGCTGCGCGACGATGCACTTGAAACCGTGCTGCCGACAGCTGGACAGACGGGAGGAAACCCGCGCTGTCCCTGCGTTGATGTCGCTGCGCAGTAGGGTCTTGCCAGGGAAGAGGACCCGCTCGCTGGTGCAGAGAAGGGAGGCGCCTCAAAACCTCCAACTGTCAGCAAGACCCGGGGTGGGCCGGCGCCATCCGCGGGGGGAGCTCTTGTCCGGCCTCGTGAGCCCGAGAGCAGCAGGGACGGCAGCCCCTCACCCACGAGCCACCCCGTGGCGCCCTGCCCTGGGCGGCGGCGGCGGCGTCGGGGCCGCGACGGGCAGGGAGGCGCTGGCGCGCGGCCCCCACCGGCCCGCACGGACGAGGCAGGCGCTCCCGGTCGGATCCACGGGGAAGCACATGGTGTCGCCCAGCCGTTACTTTTGGGAAAACCAAAATGCACCAAAAAGTCCCTCTAAAGCTGTTTAGAGGAAATATAGGGAACAGAGGAGAGAAAGTTAAATGGCATGAGGATGCATTCGGTCCAATCCACAATTAGAGGTAATTCTATAGGATGAGTCAGTTTCTTCAAAAACTTAAATTATAAGGAAAACAAAGAGTAGAGAGAAACGTATAAAAAGGAACTTGAGGTATCCACAAAATGAAGGGATCTTGTCCGGATTCTGGTTCAACAAGCCGGCTGAGTGCAGCTGAGGGACAGGCAGGGCTGCAGCACCGAGACCGGGGGCTGACACCCCGAGACATGCTGCTTCCTTCCGCCCGCGGCCCGCGGCCCGGGGGGTGGCCTGCGAAGTGTCCCCTCTTGAGAGACTCCGAGGCGAGCGGACGCCGAAGCCCATCCGCCCGAGCCGGGCTCACGCGGGCCCTGCGGGGCGGGCTCGTGGGGGGAACACAGGAGAAAGCGACCCGGCCCCAGGGCGCTGCTGACTGGGGGGGCGGGTACACAGGTCCCTTATACTGTTCTGTTGTTCTGCAGTTTTGAAAATCTCCATAGTAAAGTTTTTGTTTTGATAGTGTTGCATTATAAAACATTAAAAAATGTTTTCATGAAGACTTCCAGGCAGAAAAATATTAAGTACCACTAACTGGTAGATTAAATTTTGTAAGTTACTTAGAAACTGACAGAAAAATAACTGAAAAAAATATTCAGTACAAATTACTGTCACTGTCTCAATTAAAGACCACTAACAGTCTGAATTTTAAGCCAAATTTAACTTCAGTTCTACGTAAGCTTGTGGGCTCTGAAGTCAGGCAGATCTAGGTTCGCACCTCGGCTCCGCCGCCTTCTGTCAACCAAGCGCTGCCTCTTGGCAAACCGATTCGTTTCTGGGGGCCCCAGGCTCCCGTCTTTAAAGGGGGGGGCTGTAAAATTCCTGGTCAGGGACGCCCTTGGCACAGGCCCTGCCACACAGAAAAATGCTCCCTAAGTCAATACTTCCCCTATCCTGTTTCAACAATTCCTTTAAAAAAAAAAGATTTTATTTATTTTTAGAGAGAGGGGAAGGGAGGGAGGGAAACATCAATGTGCAAGAGACACATCGATAGATTGCTCTCACCCGCCCCCACCTAGGGACCTGGCCCGGGACCCAGGCCTGTGCCCTGACCAGGAGTTGAACCAACGACCCTTCGGTTCACAGGCCGGCGCTCAGTCCACGGAGCCACACCAGCCAGGACCTGCATTAACAATTCTCTGTGCAGTTTCACATTCTAACAGCTGTGAAATTGGGACGCATCTCGTTATTGATGGCGTATCACGGTTAAGGGGCGGTTCTTCTTTCTTTAGTGTTGTGTCAGGTAATGCTGTGCGCTCGAAGTGGGTGGCATCTGAGATTCGATATAATACAGTTATTAATCATGGTCAAACTGCAGTCCCAACTTCTATTTTAAGATTATTGTGAATACATAACCGATTTGGTATTTTAAAAATTTCAAAGTATGAGCAAAATATTTCCCACACATCACAAACAGAAGTTTTGAGACAAGTTATTTTTGTAAAAAATGGTTTATCAATTCCATTTTTGTATAAAACCCATGGGAGAAACCCAGCCAATCAACACACCACTGCTGACACGTGAAAAGGTACTTTTATCAAACTCTAAGAACGTACAAATGTTTCCTTTACCATGTCTACAGTAATTGTCTATGCTTTTCCATGTACTGTGTTTAAAATTCCACGTTTCCCCATTACTTCTTCGGCCCCAGTTACAGTACAGCGATGGGGAGTCGGAGGGGTGGTGAGACCAGCTCTCTAAGCTGTCTTCTGCTGTCCCTTCTTCCCAATCAGAGACTTGTGGATGTGAGGGATCACGCCTGGAGTAAGAGAGAAAGAAACGGAGTATCAAAAAGAATGTTAAGCTGACTGCATCTGACCATTTGGAGGCCTCAAGCCAAAAAGAACAGTTATACACAGAATGAAATTTAACTAAGTACCTCTCACGACTATTTGTGTTTAAGTGTCCGCACAGGGGGGCCCCCACCTCAGGGTCTGGGAACCCCTCTAGGACTTTATGTAACATGACGTGATTTTGTGTGCTTTAAAAAAAATTTTTAGTCTCACCTGAGGATATTTTTCCATTGATTTTAGAGAGAAAGGAAAGGAGAGAGGAAAACACTGCTGTGAAAGCAAAAGACTGATTGGTTGCCTCCTGTACGCACGCCAGGACCTGGGAGCACCTGGGACCGTAGGCACCTGAGCTGGGGAAGCAGCTGCAGCCTTTCAGTGCTGGGTCCACTCTCCAACCGACCGAGCCACACCGGCCAGGGCTGGTTTTATGTGCGTTTTGGGAGAAGAGTAACCACAGCTTTCAGGAGGTTCTCCAACGGTGACCCAGAAAGGGTTAAGGGACACCAACTCGCCTCTCACCTTCACTCAGCGCTGATTTTCAAGGGCATCATATTAAGCAATTCCTCAAGGTCATTTTTCAAACATAGATAATGAGCCACGGGAGGTATGTTAAACACCAGGCTTTAAGTATCAGGTATGAAATTTAGATAAAGGACTTGTTCTGTGGAGAAGGAATATTTATTCAGATGGTAATGAAAAGAAGCCTAGAGTTGTAATAAGACTTAACACTTTAGAATTCAAATTTGTAAGCCTTCTAGTTAGCCGAGGAAGTGCACTGGGTCACTGATCGGAACCATTCATTAGGCAGAAAGGCCGGCACCAATCTAGACCAGAGAGACAGGGATACGCACCGCCCCCAGCTATGGTGGCCTTGATAAGAGAATCCAACTCTTCATCACCACGGATCGCAAGCTGCAAGTGGCGCGGAGTGATCCGCTTCACTTTGAGATCCTTGGACGCGTTGCCTGCCAGCTCCAGCACCTGCAAAGCACCAGGGGGACAGCACATCCAACCAAGGGTGAAATGCGGCAGGATTTGCTGTGCACTTGCAATTAGAGCTAAAAAGATCACTACAGCATCTGTGCGTGAAACACACAAAAACGCAGAGAAACCAACAGCACGTTTTTCTTTTTCGTATTTTTATGAATCCTGGGGTATTAATACTCCTCCACAACAGATCTGGCATTGAACAGGAATATAAACATATGAACAAGTCCCATCAAATATATGTCAAAAACAATCAGATCCTTGAGAACAGAGATTCTGTCTTTCCTAAGCGCCCTTGTCGTTCATGGAGGAGAGGTCACAGGAATGCCCATAAATTCCAAAAATCATTTTTTCCTATTTTCCTAATGCTCTTACAGAGCTCTCATTTCGTTTGGCCTATTAATGTCCATATCCTGCAAGAGCACAGAAACTTGAGCAAAAAGCTATTTCTATAGAAAGAAGGCCAAAGGATGGTGTTATTCTGTAACCAATGTTCTAAGTGTGAACATCTAGAAAGGTCATATATTTTCATATATTCCTGTGGCCTATTTTTGTATAGCCCTTAATGGCTCGAATTTATTTCTTAGGACTAGTAGAAAAGGTAAATTTAAAAAATTTTTATTCAGGAGTCTTTAACATCCCTGGGCCCTACAGTCTGTACGCAATAAACCAGAAGCCCTTTATTCTACAAGGGAGATTTTTAACTGGAGGAATTCCAGAGTCCCAGCTGGCCACAGAAATGCACTTCTAAATTGTTTTTTATTTTGCCTCCGTAGACTACAATGGCATCATGAAACCTGTGGTGGAACACAAGTAACTCCACAGAACCTCCACGCTTAACAGCAGCGGGGAGCCCCGTGCACCTGAAGCGACGGGCACGCTTTAAAATCCTCCAGAACCCACCTCGCTCTCCTGGCATCGCCCTGGCCTGGCACCAGTGTCTTCTGAAAGCTCCCGAGGGACCCTGGCGGGAAGCCAAGGGCGAAGAGTGATAACCTCCACTAATGACTAAGCCATTTTCTCTACCTCTACTGATGAAGACCCCCAACGTACACATCTGAAAACATGGTGACTGCTTATGGGTTTACTGTCTAGTCTTACCCTAACACATTATAATCGAAGTTTCCAAGAATACAGAAAATGGGAGTTAGACGGGACTCAAACATCCTGAGGCAGAAGACTGTCCCCGCAAGTGGGCAAAGTGTGCAGCTTTCGGAAAAGTCTGAAGCTAAAGAAAAACAGGTGTGAGGCCGCTAAGGCAGGAGGGGGGGAGAGGTTCTCCACCAGACCCGCACTGCCAGAGCGAACCCCCGGTTCACGGCCGAGCTCCAACGACCGGTAATTCAATCTTCAGTCTCCAAAGGGACACAGTTGACCTGGCGAGGCTAATGGAATGACAGCAAGAGAGCATTAACATTCAGGCTGAGCCTAAGTCTCTCACGTGACCACCTTCCTTCTGTTTCTGCTGGGCTGGCTACCCCTACACATGGCTTGCTGGGACCACGCTCCACGAAGCTCACGGAGCTTCACAGCTGCCCGTGTCTTCCTTAGGAGAGGCTGGGATGGGGGAGGGGTGGTCTGTGACCCAGCAATTAAAAACTCTTGCCTAAGTAACTTACCTTCCTGAAAAGTGAAACAGCATGATAGAGCATAGGATGCATATAACCAGGCGCAGAGCCAGAATGATTCGTTCTTTTATCAAAGTTCATATATTTGCGATTTTAACAAATGTATCATCACACTCGCAAAGTTCCCCTTCCCCAAATCTTTAAGAGATTGTACTGTAACTTCCATTGATTGTATACATACTTCAGAGTTCACTCAGTAGTATAGTATTTACATTTTTACACTCCTTTGGCAGTCACTTAGAAATATGGATTGCCGCCCTGGCTGGTGGGGCTCAGTGGAATGCGCGCCAGACTGCAAAGCAAAGGGTTGCCGGTTCAATTCCCAGTCAGGACACAGGCCTGGGTTGCAGCCAGGTCCCCAGTAGGGGGCGTGCCAGATGCAACCCCACATGGATGTCTCTCTTTCTCCTCTCCCCCTCCCCTCCCCTAAAAATAAATTTTTAAAATCTTGAAAAAAAGATTGCCAACTGTTGCTTAACTTTAGAAACGAGGCACACCGAGGTTCTTTTTGACACTGGTACTGAGGAACAGGCTGATTAAAGGCATGTCTAAAACTGCCAGCGAGTAGATGTGTCTTTAGTTTCAAACACATATTTCATGGTGCCAGTCTTTTCCACTTTAGAACTTTTGGACTTCCTGGTCTTAACATCCCCCACACACCTCCGCAGTGAGGTACTCCAGGATTGCAGCGCTGTACACGGCTGCAGTGGCGCCGACCCTTCCGTGGCTTGTGGTGCGAGTCTTCAAATGTCTGTGGATGCGGCCCACGGGAAACTGAAAGAGACACCGTCTGAATGGGAGGCACTGAAGTCTTAGCATCACACCACTGAGTGTAATCAAAGGCAAATAATATGAATAAAGCATGAAGTTAAAAAATTCGGTTACTCCTATTAGAAGCCCAACCTGCCTGGCAACTACCTATTCCAAGGGCCTGTGTGTATGTCCTAGTATTTAGCCCCAAAGCTTAATGCCTGCCGTTGCCCTCCTGAGAAGAGAATCAAGTTAAAAGGACAAGAACCACCACAGGGTTTCATGAATTAGTTTCTTCGTAATACGGCGTGTCACTGTAAAATGAAGAGAAACTCTGCTGTACAGCCAACTGTACATCCCATGTGGCCTCGCGATTGTTTTCGTATCTGCTTAATTCCTTCACATAACAGCCCCGTGTGACTTGGAACCTCCAACTCCCAGCCCCGGCCCCGGCCTGTATTTCCTCGGTGTCAAGGGCTGACCCGAGGGGCACCGCCATTCTCTCATCTTGACTCTGCTTCCGAAGGTGGGTCTCCTCCAAAATGCCCTAATCCCCCTGGTCTACGCCCCTGCCAGCCTCTAGGACATTCCTATGGACCTTCCTCACCCTGTACGCGCCCCCCATTCCGACAGCTCCAATCCCTCCTCTCCTCGCGCTCCTCTCCCTCGGCTTCTAGCTACAGCCTAGGTCCCTTCAGAGACGCAAAATGGAAAAGCAAATCCGGAACTACTTCCTCATCACCCATTTTCTCCCAAACATGGCTTCTGATTAGCAGTTTTGTGGTGGTGGTGGTTTTTTTTTATTAACACCATTCCTGAAGGTCAGCGTTGACATTTTAACGACCAAATGTATTAGCCGCCTCTAGATGGCATCCTTAAGGAGAAAAGGGTTTTTATGAGGCGGTACCTTCCTTCCCTAAGTAATTCTGAGCTCCCTAAGAGCAGGATCCATGCCTCACTCAACGATGCGTCCTCAGCGATCAGCATGTTGTCTGACACACAGTAGGACCTCAAAAACCATTTCTTCTTGGGTTGCGATTACAGAATTCTGATACTAACTCCAAACTCTGACTCCTCCCCAGTCTTTGCTGCATGTCTCCCGGGGGTTACGACACTCCTCGTGTGCGGTTCCATGTTTTACTTGGAAACACACTCAGAGCATGAGTTACCAATTTTAGAGAATTGATTTTAAATTAAATTCTTTCAATCACCTCTGTTGGAAAACTGGACTCAAATCTACAGCTTTCGGACATTGTCACGTGGATGTACTGATGGAACTTCAAAACGACTCACTTAAATTCTTAAATCTTGTCCCCCCCCGCCCCCCGCCCCCGTGTCCCTTAGTTCTAAGGGTTACAGAAGCCTCCGACTTTCCTCTCAACACGCCCTCTCCCCGCACTTTGTGGGAGCACACACGTGACTCCCATTTCCTACCTGTCCCCCTGAATCCAAGCATGTACCACCCTACTCCTAAACCACCACAGCAGCCCCCCTCGGACCCCCACCCCCACGGCAGGTCGGTCCCAGCCGAGGTTCTCACGCTGCACCCCTCGCGTCCGCGGCGCCTAGACGGCGTCGGCCTCTCGCAGGAACGCCTCCCGCGGCTCACCGCTGCCAAGGACACAGAACCCGAACCTCGCAGTCCGGCCTTCACGCCTCCTGTTTACCAAGCGTCTCATATATAGAGGCTGATTCTTACTCATCCAGAAAAGTTTTAGTTTGCATATTAAAGGTGCAATTATTCAAACAGATGCAGTTTGAAAATATTTAGTGTTTCAAGTTTATCACTCAGTTTAAAACTAAATCTGATGGGGAAATATTCAGAGGACTAACAGATAATTCGTTATTCTACCAAAAATTCCATGTCATCCTGAAAGTTGACACACTACTACAAATGCCTTCTTCAACAGAAAAACCACAGAACGCTCATTTCAGTGATACGATTTATAAAAGAATCAGGAACATAATTATAATCTAGAAACAACAGAGTTTAAGAGAGAGAAATTACCAAATTAAGACCTCTTCATACTTTGTTTGGAAACAGAGAATACAAATTAAAAGATAACTGCTTCATGATTTAACTTTTGACCAATCAATCTCATTATTAATGATCATTAGTACATTTTTGTAATTAATGAAACATCTGTTGGTCATGAAATCACAACAGTAAATGACGTTATTTAAAATGAATTACAGCGTCGTGGATACGTTACCTGTAGCCCAGCTCTCTGCGAGCGAGACACTGCCTTAGCCTTGGCCTTCCCACTGTCCTTTCCAGCTTTGCCTCCAGCCTACATGAAAAAAGGCTCCAGATGAAGATGCTATTTCAAAACTAGTCCGGAAACTAAGTGTTTTCTTTCTAGTTTTACTTTAGTTAAAAACATCTAGCACTGGTTGGTGTGGCTCAGGGGATTGAGTGCCAGCCTGTGAACCAACAGGTCCCTGGTTTGATTCTTGGTCAGGGCACAGGCCTGGGTTGCAGGCCAGGTCCCCAGTAGGGGGCACAAGAAGCAACCAGTCGATGTTTCTCTCCCTCTCTTTTTCCCTCCGTCCCCTCCCTCTAAATATAAATAAATAAAATCTTTTAAAGAAATCTAGGTGATTCTCAATTTTATATAATGATATAACTATATATAAAATATACATAGCAATATACATGTATTTTATCACCACTTATTAATTTATATAAAAATGAGGTAAAAGCTTAAATACTTGTTTAAAAAGACTTTGCTAAAAATTTGACCATATTTTTTCAAATTCCAGACTGAGGAATATTTTTTTTAATTAATTTACTTTTTCAAATGCATTTGCCTCTGCCAACCCCCCACCACTTTCCCTTGCCCCCTTCCTCCCTCCCTCCCTCCCTCCCTCCCTCCCTCCCTCCGCTCTTCCCCTTTGGTTTTGCCCATGAGTCCTTGCTCTATGTTCCTTGACTTTCCCCTTCCCTTCCTTTTCCCCGCCCCCCCCTTCCCTCTTGTCTCTGTTGGTTTCTTTTCCTTCCAGTGTTGCTGGTCTTATTTTCCTTGCATCTTTGTATTGTTGGTTAGGTTCCACTTAGAGGTGAGATCATATGGTATTTGTCTTTCCTGAGGAATATTTATTGTCAATGTAACTATTATGCTGGAAGTGTTTCAAATGAAATAATTTTTAAAAATGTCAACATGTAATTTCCACAAAAATAGAACTTAGCTCTTCTAGGAGTAAAAAAGAAGCATGTAAAAAAATACCCTAAAAATGGTGAACACAGAGTTATCCTATGATCCAGCAACTCCACGTCTAGGTATATACCCAACAAACTGAAAGCAGGGACCCGAGCAGACACTGTGCACCCCTTTTCACAGCAGCATTATTCAAACAGATGAAAGGTGGAAACAGCCCAAGGGTCCGCTGATGCGGAGATAAACAAAATGCGGCCCACACGCACAGTGCATGAGCATTCAGCTGTAAAAAGGACGGAAATTCCTACACCGGCTATGGCATGATGAACCCTGAAGACATTCTGCTGCATGAAATCCGCCAACCAGAGACGGACAGTATCGTATGATCCCGCCTGCATGAGGTTCCTAAGTCAAAATCATTGGGACCGGAAGCAGGCGGTGGTGCCAGGGCCGGAGGAGGGGACGGAGTTACGGCTCGAAGGGCACAGGGCTTCTTCCGCTTCGGAAGGTAGCGGAAGCTCTGGAGGTGACTGGCAGGGATGGGTGTACAACAAGAAATGCACTTCATGTCACTAAATGTACACTAAAAGTGGTAAGTTTCATATCATTTGTATTTTACAATTAAAATAAAGACTTTCAAACTTACACTCCAGGGGTTAAACAAATACTACTTTCAACTGACAGAGAAGAAACATTTCTCGAATAGGACATGGTACATAAAATGCAATGAGATACAGCAGGTCCTTGAACAACACCTTTTTAAGAAAAAGGTTTTATTTGTTTATTTTTAGAGAGAGGAGAAGGGACAGAGAGAGAGGGAGAGAAGCTTCCACGTGAGGGAAACATCAATTGGTTGCCTCTCAAGCGCCACAACCCGGGAACCAGCCGGCAACCCAGGCCTGTGCCCTGACCAGGAACCGAACCGGCGACCTCTCAATCTGCAGAACGAGACGCAACCCACTGAGCCACACCAGCCAGGGCTTGAACAACACCTTTAGGTTCACCATTATCTCGTTATCACATCAAATAACTTACATCAACTAGCCTATGGTAGTATTGGTTTTGTTACACATTTTGCTTAAAGTTGCAGAACCTTTTCAACAAATGAAGTTCAGATGTATGCTGATAAAGAGCAACCCAGAAAACATTTCTTTGTGAAAAACCTAAGATGTCTGTGAGTGGAGTGAGCTCGTTCGTGTAGACGACAGTGTGCGTGCACGTGCCTTCCACGAGGTCGCACATTAAGGCAGAGAAGGGATTTTTGCCCCCGGGGAGGGAATACTGAGGATCTGACGAGAAGGAAACTAATGTTCCCTTTTGGGCTGAGTTCACCATTTAAATTTATTATTTCTTCACTGCAAACAAAACAAAACAAAACATCTGTTAAAAGAAGAAATGAGTTTACAAGATTGGCTGTTTGAGGTCTGTATTTTTGAAGTAGAGGGTAAGCACTGAATGGCATTTCCTCTTTGTAATGTTTTCCTTAAAAAAAAAAAATTAAGTTAAAAACCAACTGTGTGGGCCTGGCCGGGTGGCTCAGTCGGCTGATGGCCAGGGTTGCGGGAGGGCCGGGTCCCGGGTCAGGGTCAGGGTGAGGGACACGCGGATCAGCCAGTGAAGACACGGAGGAGTGGAGCAGCAAACTGATGTTTCTCTCTCCCCCTTCCTTTCTCTCTAAAATTTTAAAAAAAAATAAAACCGACGACATACAGTCCTCCTAAGTGCATGTCTCAGTTAATGTTTATCTCCGAAAACGACACGTCAAAAAGCAAAAGCTGTGGCAGGTATTGGAAGCAAGAAAGCCCAAGAACTAATTCCTACCACTTTCAGCGAGAACAGAGGATCTTTAGATTTCTCCAGGATGCCTTGTATATTTTAATGATTTCTGACCATACTTCTATATTAAAAAAAAAAAATTCTGCATACTTTTATTTCTGAGGTCAGGACAAGTAACAATACTCACTTGTTCCTCTTTCAGCTGTCTGCGCTGGTAGAAAACACTTTAGAACCCTCTCAACTACTGCAGTTTAAGCTTCTAATCACTGTATCTCTAGGAATTACGAACTAAGAACTATCACTTAATTAAAAGCCACCAACTGCAAAAACACTGCAGCCTTCCCAGTTTTCTTAAGCAATTTTATCCTTACTCTTTCACTCCATCAAATTTGTTTTACCTGTTTGCTTTCTGAGAGCAGACGCGAAATCAGTTTTCAGAAACCATAATGCATTAAATGGACTATTTGGAGACTCCAGATACACTTTTGACACTGAACCAAGTCAGACTTTTGTGGTATCACAAATACCGACAGCAACTGCTGTCTTTCCCTAACTCGCTCGACCTCTGCATACTAATTCGAATATGCGCGATGACCGCCCGAGAAGCCACCAGCACCCGTCCGTCTTCCCTTCCAAGCGCCGAGTCCGGACGAACCCGGGTCAGGCGTTCGGAGGGAAACACACCTGCGGCAGAGCAGGCGCGCACTCCATCCCGGACACCCGCGCAGGGCTCCAACGGGCCGGGCTAACTTCCGCTCGAGTTTAAAACCCTAAGCGCTTGGATGACAACTCAGCGCCTCCGGTATTTTTAGCTGCCGGTAAAGCGACACCGGGCTGCAGCACATCGCAGTGCGCGCGTGATCACGGAGCGCACCGGCGGGGCTGGGCGGACCGACGGCGCCTCGCACGCCCGCGGAAAGGCTTCGGCACCGGCGCCGCACGGCCCCACGACGAGGTAGAGACCCGCGCGTCGCCGCCGAGCGCAGCGTCCCGGCCACAAAAAGCACCACTTAGCACTCGGACTCTCTCGAGGGCTGTGCAGGTCGGGCCGCCAGGCCGCGGCCCGCCCGCCCGCCGGCCGCCTCCCGCCCCGCCGCCGCCGCCACGGCGCGCTCACCATGGTCTCGGCCGCTCCCGCCCTCGCTCCCGCCGAGCCGCCGCTGCCGCCGCTGCTACCGCAGCACCGACCGCCACCGCTGCCGCCACCGCCGTCGCCGGACAATAACCGGGGCCCGCCTCGCGCTCCCCCGGCCAATGGCCGCTCGCCTTGCTAGTTTGAACCCCGGCGGCCGCCCAATCGTGCGTATCCTTCTAGTTAGTCCCCGCCCCCCAGTACCGCCTCCCTAACGGCTGTTTGTTTTTGCACACGGCACGTGGGGGCGGGGTCTCCAGCCTCAACACGGACGCGCCTGTGCGCGGGAGGGGGCGGGGCCAAGAGCCGCTCTCCGCCTGTGTCCGCGGCTGAGCCTGATGAACGGTGAGACGGACCAGTGAGAGCGGAGGGCTGGCGGAAATCACCCAATGAGAACATCGCCCGTGAACAAGTGTGGCGGGTCTCCAGGAACGACAGCAGGACTCGCCAATGAGATGAGACTGGAGGCGGTAGAGGATTTTCCCGCGCGTTCGCGGCGTCTGCTCCCTGGCTTCTCAGAACTGTTTGCAAGAGAGGGGCGGTGGGCGACGCTTCTTCCCGCGGGTTTCCAGGCTTGTTAGTGTAGCGGGACCCGTATAGCGGAGGGCGCTGACGCCTGGCCGGCGGCTCTTCTGAGCGCCTTCCTTCCGGCGTTAGATTAGCTGTGGGGACACTGGGCGAAAAGCAGAGGCGCTCGGAAGCGGCCGCTCCGACGCTGAGAGACAGAGGGCGGGCGTGTCGGCTCACGGTTCCCGCAGGCCGACCGGGAGCCGGCTTCTCGGGCCGTGTCTCTCCCGCTGCGGCCGTGAGCCGATCCGTGTTTGCACGGTGCCTTTCCGTGGCCGCGCCAGGCGGTCCAGGGCGGGGCCCGCCGCCCACTGGGAGGTCTCCAGGCTGACAGTTCAGAAGTGTCACCAAGTGGGCGGACCTGTCCCCTAGTGCGAAAGACCTAGTGACAGGAGGAAAGGTAATGCGTTGGAGGAGATGAGGGCTGAGGTGAGAAGGGAAGTCCGAGAATCGGAGGCGTGGGGAGAAATCTGGAGGGAGACTGAGGTGTTAACGGGCCGCCCGCGGCGTAGCCCGGGCTCGCCCCGCGCCTCCTGGCGCGCCGGTGGCCTTAGGAAGGGGTCTGAGCGACCTGCCGGGACCGTCCCTGGGAGCGGTCCCGCTCGTGGGCAGGTGTCGGCAGACGGAAGCAGCGGGGGTGCAGCGGGGGCGGGGCGGGGTAGCGGGGCTCCGGGAGGAACCATGCTTAGGCCCCTGAAGCGGCAGCGCCGTGTGTCCGTGCAGGGACCGAAAGATGGCTGGTGTCGCCGCCTTCTGCGGTTTTTTGTGTCGTCGCGACTGGACCCCTCTCATCACACGTATTCACTCCCTCGAGTCTGCGTTCCCTTAGCCTTTGCCTTTCCCTCCCCGGTCAGAAGCCCCTTCTTAACCTTCGCTCCGCCCTCCACTCGTTCTAAATGCCGATCTAAGCCTCTTTGCCTGAACCTCATCTTCTCTCGGTCAAAATGCAAATCCTGAGCGCGGCGTGGCCACGCTTGGCCGCTGCTCGCCTCCGCGCGTTTCCTGGCTTTTGCCTTCGCTTTCATTGGAAACGAACCCCCATCTCAGCTCTCGCGGGCTGTCTCTTAACCACCCCCCGGCGGCCTTCCCGCCTTCCTCACCGGCGACACGGGGACGTGCCCCCGCCAGCCCTCCTCGTGCCGCGGGTACTGGCCTCCCTCGGACACAGAACCAAATGCCCGGAAATGTCTCCTGGGGAACGACGGGAACGAGTAACACTTCTGGGTGCGGGAATTTGCACCCAGACCACTGCACTGCCGGGTGTGTGACCTGGGGCCGGGGGCTGGGAGTAGAACTTAAACAAGCCGCGCCCATCTGACAGGTTCCAGGGATGCGCGAGGGGGTCCGTAGCCCTGGACGAAGCAGGTGGTAAACGTCCAATGAATAACTCCTGACAGGAACTTCATTTGATCTCCACTCTCCGCCCCTCAGCATCCGTGTCATTAACAGATTTTGATGAAAATGGAGTTAGGTTTAAATAATCTGGTTTTCGCCGTGCGCAAAATAGCCTCTTCACTGATGTGTATATGCTGTTTAGAGGTGGCAGAAGTAGACTGAGGCCCACGGACTGAAGGAAAGTGGGCGGAAATTTCCTGGCAGCTGTAAACAGAAAGTGCTCCTTAGTAAAGTGTGTTAGTAAATACGAGCTAGTTTGCAGTGAGCAAGACTTTCAAAGAAGGCGGTGCGAGCTCAGAAGGCAAACCAATCTAACTGGGAATTTTGAGCATTAGCATTTATAAAAGAAACTACCAAACATGAACAAATTATTCAACTGATGGATTTATCCCAGTATGATAGAGTCTAACGACTGATTTTCAACATGTGGCCCCTAGCCCAGCAGCAGCAGCATCACCCAGAACTGGTTAGAAATGCAGATTTTGGCCCCAAACCCACACCAACTGAGTCAGAGGCTGGAGGGGCACCAAAATCAGAACCACTGGTGTACGAGCTGAGGTGCGTCGTTCAAAAGGTCATTTCAAAACCCAGCCGCTTTAATCACTCAGCTCCTGAGAATGTGGACTGGTCATTGGTCAATACTCTGCTCACAAATTGTACTTGGCCCAAAGGAGCTGCATTGTCCACAGTTATACCCCTTTTCAGGGGGCAGCACACCTCCAGTGACTGGTGGGTCTTTGCCTTAATTTGGGACAACTCTGGAGGGCCATTCCAGCTCCAGATTTTCCCGTGTGAGGCTGCATCACAGTTCAGTTCCTCCCTCCACTTAATCCTGCTTCCTTCATTTTCTTCAAGACTAACATTCCACAGTAAACTTAAAGGCAAATCCCTGTTACAGTCTGCTTCCTGGGAAATCTGACCTAAGTCAACTTTTGAGTGAGCAGTATATTCACACGTACAAAATACTAAAGGAAAGCATTTCCATTTACAAGAGCGTCTTAAAGAATAAAGTACTTGGGAACAAGTTTCACAAAAGAAACACAAGACTTATACTCTGAAAACGACTGAACATTGTTGAAAAAAACTAAAGATTGAGGAGAATCCCAGCTTGCTTCTTTGTAGAAATTGACAAGACCATCCTAAAATTCATATGGAAATATATGAGAATCAAAATAGCCAAAATAATCTTGAAAAATAATAATATTAGAGGATGTATACTTTGGGATTTCAAAACTTACTAAAAGTTACAGTAATCAAGACAGTGTGCTAGACATAGACCAATGGAATAAATTAGAATCCTATGGTCATTTGGTATTTGACAAGGATGTCAAGAAAATTCAGTGAGGGCCCTGGCTGGGTAGCTCTGTTGGTTAGAGTGTCATCCCTATAACCCAAGGTTGTGGGTTTGATCCCTGGTCAGGACACATACAAGAATCAGCCAATGAATCCATAATTAAGTAGAACACAAGTCAATGTTTCCATCTTTCTCACAGTAATAAATAAAATTATTTTTAAAAAGAAAAATTCAACAGTGAAATTCAACAGGGAAAGCACAGTGTGACAAATGGTGCTGGAATTTCTTCTTAAAGAGAATTTGCTTTCTTTTATACATTTACATAGAAAATGGATTGTCAGGAAATGAATCAACCTGCTGAAGTGCTCCCTCAGAAGCCTTCAAAGACTGGTAGTTACAGTGTAGAAACACTGCAACAACAACAAAAAAACCCCAAATCTCCTGCACACTTGTTTCTGTCCCAAGTCAAAAGAGAAACCTTGAGCTGACAAAGGTCTGGGAGAGTTCATTAGTTGTAACCGAAAGAGTTTGCAGTACCCCCCAGAAAAGGTGTGGGCCAGATGAGGAGCAGGCAGATGAGTTCCCACTGTCCCGATGACTCACTTGCCTGAGTGATGTCGCCAGCTGGGTTTTCCCTGCAGGAAAATTGGCAGCTGCTGGACTAGAACATTCCACATTGCTGACAAAAACTTTCCTTACCTCAGAAGACGGTTTTCTGTCATTCTTCCTGAGAACCTAACATGCTTTCTCTTTGTATATTATTTATGCTAAAGGTGGGGACCCTGCCTTTATGTTCTGAACTTTGCATTACAGGAGACACAATATACGAGTTGTATATTCATAAAAGGCTGTTTCTGAATTCTAAGCTAAAGCTTCAAAGTCAGAAGCAGCTAGATGTAGGTAGGGTCAGATCTTCTTTTTATATACAAAGAGCACACACTGTAGGTCATAGAGTGTATCAAAAAAACAGTGGCAGCAAATTTTCTTACTCCTAAACTAAACAGTTTTGTACCATAAAAGCTAAGGGCACCTGGATTTCTGTACCCAGTTGAATAAATTCTCAGCAAAGATTCACTTCACTTAATGACTTAATTTTAAATGTAAGTTGTTTACTGAAAGGGAAATACAGAGTAAAACGGATGCATGCAGCATAAACAGCAAATGTTCCATTTATCAGAACTCATAAAATAAGGACATTTTTCTCAACTCCAGAGGCCCAAGAGTTTTTGTTTTACAACTAGAGAAGGTGTAGGTGCCTGTGCCTGAATGAATGAAACCTAAAATAATGGATTAAATTCCTTCTCAATTTAATTTCTGCATAGCAGTTGTTGACTTTGCGGCATAGTTAATAAGAGATGTATATTAGAAAATGCCCTCAGGGAATAGCCATTAATGTACTTAACAGGAATTCCTTGTCATTTAACCTATTTAGCTAATACAGATTTTTCAATAAATATACAAATGCAACAGCCACTTAACAGTGCTGAGATTTTTTTCAATTATCAAACTTTTTAAAAGACTGGATGCTAGGTTGTTTAACAGTAGTTACCTTTAAGGAGGGGATTTGGCTAAAGAGCACATTCATTTTGTTTCTTTATGGTGATTCTCTACTGTTCACATTTGTGAAAATGAGTGTGCATTAATTTTTAAAATAAACGAAAGTTTGGTGATTATAACTGCCAGTAAAGATTCCCACCAATTATGAGGGGTACTGGTTAAATAGGCAAAGGACATAACAATTTTGAGGGTGGGGCAGTCTAAGGGTCCTTGGAGGGCTTTTTGGTAGAGTCCTGAAAGTGAGAAGAGGGGGAACCATGTGTGATGGTTGGGTATGGGCCAGTGCTGTTCCCGTAAG